CTCCACGTGTTCGAAGATAGCCATTCTGGTGACTTTGGCTTTCACTGTGATGGACAGCAGACGTAGAGATTGTTTGGGCTATCAAACTTGATAGGTAAACTCAGGAGAAGCCCAACAGACTAAATGAAAAGTACCACGACGCCCGGAGCAATCCAGCCCCGGCATCACTGGAAAGTTGTTTATTTTTGTAAGAATATAAAGTATAAAGGTGGATCAGAGCGACTCATCTCTTGATCTGTTCTACAGAGACTTTCTAACATTCGAGAAAGCCCGAGCCGCCAAAAACTCCGGTTCAACTGATGAATAATCAGCGTAGTGCTGTATTCATGATTAGGAGGAGGAGCTAAGTTGCTTACTATGAAGCCCATCAAATGCAGGGTATCCCCATTTATACGAGTTGTTATACGTCTTGTCTAGAATGCCTAGTCAAGAGCACAAGTTCGTGGCAATTTGTAAACCCTGGGGCGAGGTGGGCCGTATTTCGCGCGCTATACTCGTCTTCACGAAATGCGAATTCAGCATTCAGCCTGCAGCCACAATGTAAGGAACAGACCACCCGTTTAAATGCAGCCTGGTACACTGGCGCTATGTGAGGACTGTTGATAGTCGCTCGTGGCTTGTTTGATCGCCAGCCGCACTTGAAAACTTGGCATTCGCTTGCCGAATCAAGGGACAATCAAGCAGAATGCAATTACCCATTACTCCAGGATCCCTCGGAGTGAGACAACCGTGTCTTTCACATGAACACTTGAACAGATATTTGTGCTGTTCAGCCATGAGGGACGTGCTTGTGGAAGAGGCCCGTGGAGTCTAGATCTTGAAGAGACAGCCAAGTCGTACACATATCCCGCTCTAACCTGGAATGTCTTTCGTACCTCGTGTCCTCTTAGCCAGCCGATAATAACGAGTAACACACGTTCATTCAATATCCTCTCATGCAAGATCAAGCAGGATGACAGAGAGTCACGCACTTATTACTGAGATATTCGTGTACGGTTACCGAAAGTACTTGCTTGGTGGCTTGAGAAGCACGACCGATCAACAATCGGCCCGGAAGGAAACCAGAGAGTAGAGCCATGGTGGCAAGCAGAGCCTGCTACTCAATTGAAGCGACCTAAACCCAACGAAAGGCATAAAGGGCTACCCATATGGCGGCAACCTAAACTTGTCCAACCGAGAATGTGCGAGCTTGGTACATAATAGGTATCACCTGATGTTCTGAGAGATTGCTCCACCGTGATGTGGAATAGAGCGGCTGATAAGGTTCCTCAATGTCAAAACTACTCATATTAGCCTTGTGGTTTGGGAAATGCACAACGGATGCTTGTCTAGGGACAACGTGAATCGTGACGAATGGCGTCCAATTACCCCTGTGCCCGTGCTGGAGCCTTAGTGAAGTCAGATACGAAATCGTACTACCAATGCTGATCAAACGAATAAACCAGCTTTTAGAACAGCGTTGCAGCGTAATTGTATGAATCCTGTTCACGTAGCGACACTTGATACCGTAGAGTACAGAATTGTGGTCGCTTGCTGAGTTTTGCCGTGGGTCCATGCCACCTTGACGAGCTATAGATTAGATTTTCAACCCCCAAATAGCTGGCATCTCCATCGTAAAGTTCCTAGCATGGGTGAGTGGGGATTGCATTAATGCCGAGGAGCTAAATTAGGTCAATGGATAGTATTTGTGTTAGCATTCAGCATCTGTAGTCGCGTCGTATGACACCCATGAACGGTCTCTGCGAATCACATAGGGAGCACGTAAAGCGTGGTTGTTAACTTACAGGGGCTAAAAGCTCACTTGACCAGCGTCCTTTGCCGGAGGATAAGCGACTGGGCTTCTATAGTGGCTTGGACGATGTCATCCCCTGTCAAGGCCTAGACGCAAATTATGTGTTAGCCAGCAGGGGCCCGTGGCGAAATAGCGTAAGCCATTCGGTGCCCCCATTCGATTAGTCTATTTTTCAACCTACTAGGGATGTAGTATCACCGTTCCGCGCTAATTAGGATATTATTGGGCAACATAGCTGCGGTGTTGCTTTGCAATGTCGACTGAGATGAGACCAGGCAGTGTGCAAAATTGCAATCCAGATTTATGTTGGGTTGGATCAAGATCCATGTGCCAAACAGAGCGAGATGAAAACAGAGAGCTGTATTGCCGACGGTTTTATTAAATGTCAGACCGGAGGGACGATGGAGCCTAGATCTTGCATTGGGTAATGGGGGGGAACATAAGTTCCTATATTCTCGCGCGACAAGCTGAGCCGCGCATCTATCCCAAGCCATTGTACGCAGAGGAACGCTGTGCACCAGACGGCTTACACTTCATCTCCATATTTTAAAGTCCCCTGTCAGCAAGGCGAGCCACTGCGGGGAGGACTTGCCTGTTCTTCAGCGAAGCATTGATCCACAGCACCAGTGACATAGCTTTAAGGGCGCATAATCCTTGATACCTGCCGCATATAACATGGTGACCACCCAGAGCATCTCGCGCCAACGACCCGGTTCTGCTTGTGAGGAATGTCGTCGACGTAAGGTCCGCTGTGACCGTCGCCGTCCACAATGCCAAGTGTGCTTCGAGACTGGTATCGAATGTAAGATAAGCACCACGAGACTTCCACGGGGACCGCGAAAGGGTCAGCTACGGACATTGCGAACACGAATCGGTAAGTCTTGTTCGACATCGACGAAGCTCGGTGCTCATATTGACCAGCTGCCCTTGAACGTTGCCTGGCCGACCAGCATCCGGCTATCAATCAACAGATGGCCGGGTTGTTTGATGGCGCAGGGGTTGAGTGCGACTCTGAAGAAGATCCTCTCCGTGATATAGCTACACTGCCTGAACAAATTCCCGAAATATGTTCCGACGATCAGCAAGGAGGTGGGTCGCCACGGTCCCCCGATCCTCAGACGCGACCAAGCGGACTAGTCTCCGATCTGATGCGCGCAGATCTGTAAGGCATCACATGAAAAGCTGGACACATTACTAAGGCGCATACTGACTCTTACAGAGATCAATTGTACTTTGATCGTGTGCATCCCTTTTCTCCTATCTTACAGCGTTGGCGCTATCACGTATGGGCGAGACAGTCCAAGAAGAGTGAAGCTCAGGTATGCCTACAGTATGCTATGTGGACGGTAGCCGCTTCCTTGTCGGTTCATTTTCAAGCTCTCCGAGACACCCTTTACCAGGAGACGCGCCGGATGTTGGATGCTATGGACCTCCAAAGCCCCATTGGCGGGGTCCTAGCAGTTGAGCAAGCCCAAGCATGGGTTCTGGTTTCTGTTTACGAGTATATGCAGCTGTCACCTCAGCAGGCGTGGATGAGTGCTGGTAGATGTTGTCGCCTGGTCCTGGGTATGCGACTATACGAGATAGATGATCCTAATAACCCCGTAACAATAGCTCGGGAGCATGAGCCGAGCTTAGTAGACTGGACCGGGCTGGAGGAGCAGCGGCGAACCTTTTGGATGGCCTATTCCTTGGATCGGTTCATCAGCTTTCACAACGCGCTGCCATATACCTTAAATGAACACCTGGTATGTCTCATAATCAGAAAGGGTATCGCTGATCTAATAAAAGCAGATTGCAACTCGACTGCCAACATCGGAAGAAGATTTTCAAGCTGGCCATCCTGCAGCAACTCCGTTTTTGCCGGAAGTGATGATGGGCTATTCAAACAGCGATAGTTCCAACGGCCAATCATCCTTTAGTGAATGCATTATACTAGCCACAATATGTGGTCGAGCACTCTCACACAGACAAACGTCGACTGTGGAGCAAATTAATGGAGATTTGGTCGATGGACTGTGGACTCGGCACCAATGGTTGCATGAAATGGTCACCTATCGCATCCAGGTGCTCTCGGCTTCAGCGCATGTGGACCCAATGCTTATTTTCGCGAGGATCGTAGCGCAAACTTTGGTTCTTTTTCTACATAGCGTACTGGAGGCGATAACATGGAGGACAAGTGAGCATTTGCTGAGTATCTTCGAGTACGAGCGCCTTTGCGTGATGGCTGCACACGAAGTGGTCAACCTGGTGAAGCTACAGGGCCAATTAGGGTATTTCAAGGTATTTTGCCGATGCAACCAGTTCCAAAATGTATATTGACAGTTTAGGTGCATCCATTGACCCCGATTCCGATCATGATGTGTACCGAGTTCTTCACAGCACATGCTTATCTTGATGGCTCCTTCGATATCATGCTACAGGAACTGCTCGATTGCCTGCAGGATTTGGACCGAGTCAAGAATCCGAGTCAGAGCCCTGGGATGTCTGTTTAGAATTGAGATTGGTGTCTCCTACCGGGGTCAGGAACATACCTCCGGCATATCGACATATCCATTGCATGCGGACCAAAGGGCGGTTGGATTATGTGTTACTAGTGATCATATGATAGAGAGTCGGGAGGGAGGATAGGTCGTAAGCTCCCCCTGGTAGAAACAGTCCTTCCATTCTATATAGCCCTTATCTTCCCTGGAAAAATGCCATCTTGTATAATGAATCTATGGGAAATAGGCCCGCGTCCCACCATGTTGGGCATATCTCTTGTTGGCGCTGCTCCAATGGTATCCATAGTAGGATTCCAAATAACGCCCGGGACTCACGGATATGAAAAGAGATCAGCTGGAATATGAAGGCGGGGATCAGCCACCATGTGACAGTAGGGAGTCTATCACTGGCCCATAGACTGTTTGTGTCTGTCCTTTGTTCGAGACTAGGAATGGATCAGTCAGCCACCCCGAGGAGATGACCCGACGACAAACTCCGTCCGGCAATGCCTTCGCTAATGTGATATTAATATAATTGGGATAGACCAGGGCTTATTCGGAGAAATATCAAGCCAGTATATTAATCTGGAAGCAGGGTGAGAGGGTAGCTTGACCCATGGCAGGAAACGAACAGGCCTAATCTGGACATTCTTATAGTCTCCTACCCCGGCCCTAATTTCTTTGTTCTGCTTTCGTGGTCCATCCGTACGGCAATTTCAATTAATATGGCCAGCCAGCTGGAGCCACCACCTGGTGGTAAGACTGTCCTCATCTTCGGTTGTCAATGTGTCTCGTTCAATATCGACGACTTCCACCGTCTCCGGGCCACTGTCCTGGGTACACCAGAGCATCACTGGGTCCAAGATGTTCTATCGGAGCTGCCAGTATACTACCGCACAGCAGCCACTACATATGTCCAGAAATTGCAGAACATTCCTGGGACACAGCAGCTCCGCGATTTAGCTGAATGGTTCCGCACAGGACTGGTGCCGACAGACAGCTTTCCGTTGCCGTATATCCAACTTGCCCCACTATTAATGATAGCCCATTTCACGGAATACTGGCAATATCTTGGCCTTAGGCACCCTAAAGGCCCGATATTTGGCAATGAGCCATTGATGGAAAGCTCGGTCGTGGAGATCGTGGGGTTTTGTATTGGGTTCCTAAGTGCTACTGTCGTTTCTGCCGCTAGCAACCAGGAGAAATTATCGAAATATGCCGCTGTTGCCCTGAGGCTAGCAACACTAATGGGCGCTATTGGTGATGCGCAGGAGAGGGACGAGGAGTATACCTCGCTTGCAACGGCCTGGAAAGCTGAGGACCTCGAAAAAAGGTTGCCACTGATTTTGGAGGCATTCCCGGAGGTACGTTCATTGACCTACGATACAGGACCAACACAGTTGACAGAGTAGTCGTATGTCACGGTACGCTTCGACACCAACCGGGTCACTATCATGACACCGCGTCAGACCATTAAGCAGCTAGAAGAGGCATTGCAATCAGCCGGATTCAATACTACGCAAGTCGAATTCAATGGCAGATACCACTGGGCTGGCAATGAGGATATAGTGCATGCACTGAGCCGAATGTGCGATAGTGATCCAGCCTTGCAATTACATGATTCCTCACAATCAGTTGTTCCCATACGGCCAGATATATCAATGGACACTCCTCGTGGAGGTCCTCTCCATGAGCTAGTATTACGGTCAATCCTAGCACAACAGTGTCAATGGCTTGGCACATTCTTCAGCGTATACCAAGCTCACCTGGAAGATACTTCATCACTAATCATTGAATTTGGACCAGAACGGTGCATCCCGCCTACGTATATGCGTAAGCTACGCGGACGCACTGTGCACTTTGCGGATCTCGATCTAAACCCACTCTCACGGATTTCGCCTCTACACCAAACACCACAGACCTATGATAGCGACATTGCTGTAGTTGGCATGGCCTGTCGCGTAGCGGGCGCGGATGATGTGGAGGAGTTCTGGAAGTTACTATGTTCCGGGGAGTCACAGCATGAAAAAATGCCCATAGAGCGATACCGGAACTATGAGACACCATGGAGGCCGAGTGCCATCAAACCTTGGTTTGGGAACTTTGTCCGGGACATAGACGCGTTCGACCATAAATTCTTCAAAAAGGTGCCACGGGAGGCAATGTCCCAAGATCCTCAGCAACGACTGCTGTTACAAGTCGCGTACCAAGCCGTGCAACAGTCGGGGTACTTCCATCATCCCAATGTTAACCAGAATATCGGGTGCTACATTGCGTCCTGCACGGTGGACTATGAACACAATGTCAATTGTAACCCAGTTTCTGCATATTCGGCAACTGGGCTACTTCGAAGTTTCATGGCTGGTAAACTGAGCCACTACTTTGGTTGGCGGGCCCCGCATTTTGTGTTGATAGCGCATGTTCCGGGTCCGCTGTCGCACTTCATCAAGCGTGTCAATCTATAATACGAGGAGAGTGTACAGCCGCGCTGGTCGGCGGTGCGAATGCTATAATGAGTCCTTTGGCATATGACAATCTTGCAGGAGCATCATTTGTGAGTCCCACAGGACCTTGCAAGCCATTTGACGCAGGGGCAGATGGATATTGCCGTGGGGAGGGATTTGCTGCGATCTTTATCAAGAAGATGTCGGAGGCTTTGGCAAATGGTGACATTATCCTGGGAACAATCGCTTCCACAGCCGTCCAGCAGAATAGTAACTGTACGCCAATTGTGGTTCCAGACGCGTGCTCTCTTTCTCGGTTGTTCACACAGGTGACTGGACAGGCGCACCTCCAACCTCGGGATATATCAGTTGTTGAAGCTCATGGAACAGGGACACAGGCTGGTGATCCTGCAGAATATGTCAGCATCAGAAAGAGCTTAGCTGGGCCACAGCGCACTACTCCATTAGCCCTTGGATCTGTTAAAGGCCTGGTCGGACATACTGAAGGTGTGTCCGGCCTAGTTGCCGTGGTGAAGGTCTTGCTAATGATAAACGAGGGCATGATTCCTCCGCAGCCGAACTTCCACACACTGAATCCACATATTGAAGCATCTCCGGACGATCAGATGCATATACCAATGACTCTCACAGAATGGACCGCAAGCTTCCGTGCGGCACTTATCAACAACTACGGTGCTTCGGGATCCAATGCATCTATGGTGATCACGGAAGCTCCTGGTGCGTTCGCGAATCAAATATTCCCTCCCATCAATACTTCTAACCTCGCTCTTCCAATCCGAATATGCGCTTCAGATGAGGGTCGACTTAGTGACTGCACGAGCCGGTTGCACCAATTCCTCCAGCATCAAGTCATATCTGCGGCATCTGCTACAGACTTGGGGAACCTATCTTTTAACATCTGTCGCCAGTCCAACCCCACACTAGAGTCACAGATAGCTTTTAGCTGCTGCTCTCAATCCGAGCTTGCTTCTAAGCTGTCGACCATAATGAATGGCGATACGAACCACATTTTCAGGCTTATGAAGAGTCCTCGCCCGGTCGTATTGTGTTTTGGTGGTCAGGTCTCTACTTTTGTAGGCCTGGACCGCACCGTATATGATTCCATCTCGCTTCTTCGTCATCACTTGGGGCAATGTGATTCCCTAGCACAGTCATCTGGATGCGGTAGCCTTTTCCCTAGCATCTTTGAGCGCAACCCCATTACCGACCAAGTACAGTTACACGTGCAACTCTTCTCTTTACAATACTCCTGCGCGCGGTGCTGGATGGATTCGGGGCTATCGGTTGCAGCTGTTGTTGGACATAGCTTTGGCGAATTGACTGCACTATGCATATGTGGCACCCTATCACTTTGCGATGCAATAATACTGATCGCTCGCCGCGCAGCTATCATTCGTGACGGTTGGGGCCCTGACCCTGGCGCTATGATTGTAGTGGAGGGAAATAAGGACGACATCATACGTCTTATAGATGCTGCCTATCGCAGCGGCTCCACAAATATTGCTCCAGCAACGATTGCTTGCTTTAATGGTCCCAGTAGCTTCACGCTCGCTGGAGCCACGGCTGCAATTGATGCAGTCCAAGCAATCCTTAAAGCCCCCTTGTATGCTAGCCTTAAAGCAAAAAGATTATTTGTGACGAATGCCTTCCATTCAGGCTTAGTGGATCCTTTGTTGCCAGCCATCGAGGGCGTTATGCGTGGGATAAATCCGCAACAGCCAATCATTCTGTGTGAGAGGGCGACACAGAGCTCGTCCACAGCTACAATCTCGTCCAGTATGGTTGCAGAACATCTCCGCCAGCCAGTCTACTTCCACCACGCAGCACAACGATTGGAAGAGAGATATGGCCCATGCGTATGGGTAGAGGCCGGTTCCAATTCCACGATCACAATCATGGTCAGTCGGGCTCTTGCGTCTTCATCGGGACACCACTTTCAAGCTGTGAACATCACAGATGACCGCGGCATGCAAAGCCTAAGCGATTCAACTATCAGTCTCTGGAAGGCAAGCGTATCGGTAACGTTCTGGGCTCACCATGCCCGACAGTCACATGAATACGCCCCTATACTTCTGCCACCATATCAATTTGAGAAAGGCCGGCATTGGCTTTCAAACAAAAAGCTTCCTGGACCTCCACACGAAGTGGGTACCAGACCGGCAACTGAAGCGTCTGCTTTACGATTTGTCGGATACCAAGATAGCCAGCAACTAGTTACCAGATTTAGTATCGACACTGCCCACCCGCAGTACCAGGAGTTGATCGCGGGGCATGTCGTTTCACATACTTCGCCAGTTGCGCCTGCGTCTTTAATGCTGGATTACGTTGTTGAAGCACTCCGCAGGTTACCAGAATGTGCAGGGCGAATACCCCAGGTTCACAATGTCACAAGCGATGCACCTCTCTGTTTGGATATGTCTCGAGATCTATGGATTGAGTTGCATGCGCAGGATACCCATAAGCATATATGGGGTTTAAGGTACCTGAGTGAACAACTACAAAAGGGGCGACGGTCACAGGTCCTCCACTGTTCTGCTAGATTCATTATGTTTGACCCGCACGATACACAGATATGCGGCGAATTCGCTATGTACAGCCGCCTGGTGAGCCATCACCATTGCACGGAGCTTTTGAATGATCCGAATATAAGTGACATTATTCAAGGGCGGAATGTCTACCGGACCTTCGCTGAGATTGTAGACTATTCGGAGCCTTATCGCGGAGTGCAAAAGCTCGTTGGAAAGGATAATGAGTCAGCAGGTAGAGTAGTCAAGAGGTACACCGGACAAACATGGGTGGATACATGTCTGTGTGACTCGTTTAGCCAGGTTGCCGGCTTTTGGGTCAACTGCATGACGGACCGGTCACCATCTGATATATACCTAGCCAGTGGTATGGAGAGATGGATGCGGTCGCCAATGTACGCTGACCCTACTACACCTCGACCGAGCACATGGAATATATTAGCAAAGCACGAGCGAGGAGATGACTGTTATATTAGTGATATCTTTGTCTTTGATCCAACGACGGAACAGCTTGTCGAGATTTTTCTGGGGATGAAATATACTAAGGTGAAAAAGGCAACATTTTCCAAGATTATCGGCAGATTTATGCCACGATGTGCAACACAATCACCTGATGTTGGAAAGCTTGAGGTTGCAGCGTCGCACTCAGCTGTTTCCGTCCCACACGGTGTTGGAGCCAAGTCCAAGAATGGCCAGGAGAGATCCAGGACTAACCTTGCAGCCCGTGTCAAGGCAGTTGTAGCCGATTTCTGTGCCATTGACCCTAATGAGATCACGGAAGACGGTAACATGGCAGACGCTGGAGTGGACTCTCTCATGGCGATGGAACTTGCTCGTGAGATGGAGGAGGCCTTCCATTGTACGTTACCTGCCACAGATCTGATGGAGGCAGATACATTCCGGGACTTGGTTCATTGCGTCAAGACTGCCGTGGGAGAGTGTGACAATAACGAGCAGGATACTTCCAACTGGAGTCTAGAGGATACAAGCTTCAAAGATAGTAGTCCTGAGAGGGGCTTTAACACTCCTAACACCGAGCCAGGCACCGGTGTTGCATCGGATACTCCAGATCTAGAGCTACCCTTGCGAAGTGTATTAGATGCATTTGGGGAGACCAAAACGCTCACCGACCGTTTCCTTGCGGAGAATAAGTGCAGCGGTCGTATACATATCTTTGCTCCGCTGCAGACTGAGCTATGTATTACGTTAACATTAGAAGCATTTGAGCAACTGGGTTGTTATATCCGCACTGGGTTGCGTGGCCAGTGCCTCGACCGAATACGATTCGACCCGCAACATCACGAGCTAGTAGACTACCTCTACAAGAGACTTGAAGAAGCAAGGCTTGTTGACCTAGCCGGCAACACTGTCATTCGCACAGCCATATCAGCCCCCAACAAATCCAGTCTCTCTATTCTGGAAGAGATTAAGCGCTCATATCCCGAGTATGCTGGCGCTAGCAAGTTAGCGTATTTCACAGGTAGTAAGCTGGCTTCGGTGTTGCGCGGTGAACAAGACGGCCTTCATTTGGTTTTTGGTACTAAGGAGGGTCAGGAACTAGTATCATGGATGTATAGCGACGAGCCGCACAATGTCGTGGGATATATGCAAATGTTGGACTTCATAACACGGCTGATACAAAAAGCTCCAGTAACAGGAACGGAGGTGGGATCTCTCAAGATTCTGGAGATGGGAGCAGGTACGGGAGGTGGCACGAAATGGTTTCTTCCCGCTTTATCAAAGCTTGACATCTCAGTCGAGTACACTTTCACCGATATCTCAACAGCCTTTATTGCACAAGCCAGGCGACGCTTCAAAGAGTATTCCTTTGTGCGATATCGTGTTCATGATATTGAGAAGCCCCCTGCCGATGACCTCGTCGGCACGCAGCACATCATTATAGCCAGCAACGCTGTTCACGCTACATCCAACCTGCAGGAGTCCACACGGAACATGCGGGCGGCCTTGCGGCCAGATGGGGTCGTTCTGATGTTGGAAATGACGCGACCAGCGTTCGCAATTGATATTGTATTTGGCCTCTTCCGCGGTTGGTGGGTGTTCAATGACGGTCGCAACCATGCCATTGCCAACGAACAACGTTGGAAGGCAGATATGCACACGGTAGGATACGGCCATGTGGACTGGACAGATGGTCATTCGCCGGAAGCCAGCGTGCAGAGAGTTATCTTCGCCACAGCAACTGGGACCGAAAGTCAACGCTTGCCGCTCGGCAACCCTAACGAGAAGGGACACCCAGAACAACAGGTCGATAACAGCGTGCGGAGCAAAGTAACTACTGAGTACATACGACGGAGTATTGAGAGTTTCACTCCTCCCACAGCTTCACTCAGCGGTTTTGCGTCAGATGGGCAGGTAGTACTATTGACTGGTGGCACCGGTAGCTTAGGTAGCCATATTTTGGCACATCTCGCTCGACAACAGTCTGTGAACAGAATATTCTGTCTGAACCGAAGCAAAGCCAATGACGAAGCATTCCAAAGACAGACATCCGCACTACAAAAGCGCGGGATCTCCTTGGCTGCTCACGAAATGCGTAAGGTGGAAGTACTGGCAACAACAATCTATCACAATAACCTAGGACTTTCGTCAGAGCAATATGACATTCTGAAGACCACTGTCACCCATATGATCCACAGCGCTTGGCCAATGAATGGGGCTTCGGACGTATCAGCCTTTGAGAAACAATTCCGAGTGATGCGTCATCTAGTCGACCTCGCAGGCGAGATCGCATGCCATCGTCCCACGGACTCGGGAATTAGGTTTCAGTTTGTTTCCTCTATTGCAACTGTTGGACATTACCCCCTCATCACCAGTCAGAATAATGTCCCAGAACAATCAACTAAAATCGAGTTTGTATTACCCAATGGATACGGTGAGGCAAAGTTTATCTGCGAGCGGATCCTCGAAGAGACTCTGCAGCGATATCCGAATTGCTTCCAAGCTATGATCGTCCGCCCAGGCCAGATCGCTGGGTCTTCCAGCAGTGGGTGTTGGAATATAGCAGAGCACTTCCCAGCCATAGTCAAGTCGGCACAGACACTCAAGGTACTTCCAGACCTGCAAGGAGAGCTCTCGTGGACACCTGTGGACGAGATCGCCGCTAGTCTGGTGGAGTTACTAGTCACCGACAGTACATCCTATCCGGTGTACCATTTGGATAACCCCGTCCGCCAACCGTGGCATGATATGATATTCATTTTGGCCGGTGAGCTTGGTATTCCCACCAGTAACATTGTCCCGTTCTCTGAGTGGATCCAACGAGTCCGCAGCTTCCCGGGGTCAAGAGAAGATAACCCAGCAGGTCTGATGGCGGACTGGCTAGAAGAAAACTTCGAACGTATGTCATGTGGCGGTGTTGTGCTAGAAACCACAAGAGCGAGGGAGCATTCCTCAACTCTGGCGGGAGTCAGGCCGGTCAATGCGGAGGTCACTCGGCGGTATTTGCATAGTTGGAAGAAGCGCGGATTCCTGCATTAGGTCTTCGGATATGCAATGGAAGCTAATTCAGTGTCACTGAGGGATTGTATTTCGGACCGTGCGCCTCAGTTTGGTGTAGTTGAGAAATACCACACAGGATAATCCACCGCATAAATTAGACGATCTCTTCCCGTTCTTTTTACGTCTTTTGCACAATTCCTCGCGTTAGTCCTGATTGGGTTACGGCTTCTTCCGGCCGTCACGGGGCTCCACCGAGGACCGCCTGTTTTCAATAACAAAAGGAATAGTTTCTAGCATTTGAAAAAGCAAGCGATCTTTCCGGTATATACATATCGTATCATCCACAGCGAGTAGAAATGTACCCTCCCTTAGGTCCTCTACTACCACTACTCATTAACAGCTGTGGGAACGAACAATGGTGCTCCACTTGTCGTTATGGGAATCCTGACCAGAGAAGGTCTGACCTCCCTGAAGACAGGTGTTTAAAATCAGCTGAGCACCGTCGGCAATGTTGTTGAAGCTGGGCAGGACTTTGGTAAAGGTATTCTTGAATCCAGGTCAATATACGTTACTGCAAACAAGCACGGAGCCCGGTGGTACTTACATCATTACACCACCAGATAGCCGATGACCAGGAACAGCTGACCTGACCACAGCTGCCGGGGCCAGGTCCTCTCTGCGGCTTGCCAGGAACACCTCTCAAGTACTCGATGCCTTGCTTGATCTGGGTCTTGCGAGCCTTGGGAAATCCGCCACAGGCAACATTACCACGCTTGGCCAAGTGCGATGGAGTGTCTTCTTCCTCAGCAGCCTGTTCAGCAGGCTGGTCAATCTCATGGGCAGCAATGGCGAACTCAGCGTCGTAGTTAGGGTTGATCTCGCGCAGCTGAGATAGGACGTTCTCAACGGTGCCATTCAAAACGACGGTTGGCCCGCCGGGGGTCGTCTCGACTTCCCATGAGAACTCCTCAACGGTATAGCCCTCGAGGGGGGAGTCCTTGGCTTGGACCTGATGAAGGGTTAAACAAATGTTACAAGCATCATATAAGTGAGCCATAGCTCGAGCCTACCTGAGCAACAATGCCAGCAGCCAATACCCAAAGGAAATTAAACGATTTCATGATTGGAGTCTTGATCGTCTCGGTGGTTTCAAAGAAACGAGCATAAACAACCCTGTCCTCTGGACATTCTCATGGCTTTATACCCACGACCTACGGCTGTACACCCAGGTAATTAAACGTAGGGTTACATTGTTGCAGCGAACTAGTCGTTCACTAATCTACTAGTATGTTCAAAAGCAAGGCCCTAAGAAGATGACAATGAAGGTAGGATGGGAAAGCAACTGCCAAACCAAGACGTATCCAGAGTCCAGGCTTTTAGTACGTGGGTCACGAGCTCGGTTGGACATCTAAGCAGGCTGAGAAGACAGAAATTTAGCTGTCAGCGGAAACATCTAAGGAGGCTCGAAACGTAATGGAATTTCTATCAGTTCGATTTGTATTGACTGAGCACACATTAAGTCACCTTCTCATGGTCTTCCATTTTATCTCGAGTCATTCCGCGCCATCCCATAGACCCACCGACAGGGTTCAGAGGGCCCAGAATTGCTCCGGCGTATATAGGCCCAGTGGGTCAAGTCCCCAACCGGAACTCGGCTCCTCACTCATCATACTAGTACTATTGGAATCAAGAGATTGAAGTAGGGTTACTCGGTGGACGTTTCCTCTTTCAGATAATGAAGGGGTTTCCACTTTTGGATAGTGTAGGGGCGTCTGTCCCTCCTTTCACGACTGCTCATCAGCCAATCTGAATACCTCTCGTGTGAGAGCTAGTTCTTCAGTCGACCTTAAGCGAGACTAGCTGGGTATCCTAGACCCACTATTACCTGTCCACTCCCCACATGTTGTCTTACTGGATTGGGGGCGGAATCCAAGTATGACATTCGAGAGATGAGTAGAAAGGAATGTTGCTCGTTCTTTGCAAGTGGGCCATTGATCACACAATACCATGCTTCCTCCCTATATATGACGCAATGGCCCGATTTGAAGACCACTTCTCATGGTAAGATTTAGGAATTCACCATGCAAGGGCATTTTTAATCAACGATCAGAATGTATTACGTACTGCCGCCAGACGGTTTCTGTAGCTTAGTTCTGTTCTGTTGAATGCATCGTGGGTGTGGGAAGTCTGGCTGCTATCAAAGCTGCCAATAATACCGGCTTGAGTAAGGTGATAGGTCTGTCCGTATCAACATAAACAGCATATCGACAACCCCCCATTTGGTCACATAACGAAGAGAAGTAAATCTTTAGTAGACAGCCATTTGAGACTAGTATAACCTTTACAAATAGCGATGGTTACCAGCTGACGTCAAAGAAAAGTCTGATGATTAAGATGATGTATCCTAGATAGTGCATGCGATAGTCGGCCTTCTGGGGAATAACCATAGATATAAGTTGCGGCATCGCCTGTAACGCCCAGTATATAAAACACTTCTCATGCGGATTGGTGAACTTGGGGTACCACTGAAAAAGAAATGACTGAACTGCATGTTACTGCGTCCTCCATGGAATTTACCGTTCTTCGCGATCACAATGGATATCCGAGTTGACGAACAGAACTTGAGACAAATACAAATCGCAGCAGATCTAAGATATACTATATAGGCTTGTCCATTGCACTTTGCCCACTCATTTGGTTCCCCTTGGACACGATATCATGTCATAATAATTGTTGAAAAGACCACTCAGGAACTTATCCTTTCGTTTTTGAACACAGGTTTATATTACTTGTCAGTGATGCCATGTGCATTGTCCCAAGCCATTCAAGTGCCCATGGCGACCTTGCGAGGGACTGTGCTCTATTCACTTTGCGTACAGTACGTTAAAGGAGCATGTAAGAAACTGCCACCTGTTTCCAATCTGGTACATGTGTCGTGACTGCCATAGGGTAGTGAGAAACCGGACTGGCCTTGTTGCCCATACATGGCATAGAATACACCTGGAAATTGAATATGATCATCGCAAAGATGCTCAAGCCCATGACTAGTTGGTTCATCTTCTTCCTTTGTTCGCTTATTGCTCTGTGTCTTTTCCTTTCTTTACTTGGCTATTGTCCCTTTCCATTATTTTATAACTGAACCAACAGCAACCATTATAAGACCATCTAGAAATCTCCACTTAGCTCTTCATATCGAGTTGGATCTATCGGAGAAAACTACGATATTCCAGTAAGATATGGTGACCAAAGGCTTGGTAGGCTATTACTACACACAAGGTGCCCCTCATCTTCGTAATAGCAACAGCTGTTGATTGTAATTCCCGACTTTTTCTCGTTGATATCTTATGGCTACTATAGTGCTCTAACATGATTCGGTCTCAGTCGATTCCATGTTATATTATAGCGCTGGTGACGAGATAGACAAGACAAGCAAAGAAAATACAATTACAAAGAAGTAATTCTGCACAAGGGCTACTACGTACCGGACAGTTGTTGTTGAGATCCTAGTATTAGTGGGATCGGGCTTAAAGGGTAATTCATGGCCTCAGGTCCTACTACACCTCTTGAGAAAGTATGTGGTGGAGAGCTTCAAGCTTCCCCTTCCGCCTCTAGTTGCTCAGAACAGGTTCACTAGCACTGCATCATATCACCTTTCACTTCATCTCATCACTTAAGTATTCGAACAAAATGAATCGAGTCCTCCTTGTACTATTCAGTTTGCTTTGTCTTGCTTTTGCCAATCAGTCTTCACCGTGCGTCAAGATCCACATGATTGTTGCCCGACAGAGTAACTCCTGGCCAGGGGAAGGCCGTATGAAAGAGCTCGCCGATTATATCAAACAACAGCTCCCAGGTTCTGACTCCGAATCGCTCCAGTATCCGGCATATGGCGATATCTGGCGATATCGTTCCTCGGTGTTCGCTGGGGACAAGGCTATGATCACTGCGATTACTGCCTATACATCTCATTGTCCGGACTCGAAGATTGTGCTTCTAGGGTACTCTCAGGTTCGTTGTTTATTTGGGCCACTCCGTTTGTTTGCTAACAGCAGATAGGGCGCTCATATCATCGGTGACATTCTTTGCGGCTCCATAGTCGAGAGATATTTTCCAGCTATCCCGCCAATTGACGATCATCTGGGCGCAAGAAGTAGGCGAGTGTCGGTCGCATAACCAGGCTAGCTCCTTACCAGTCTACAGTTGTCGCGGCGGTATCAATGGGGGATCCTACGTTTGTCCCAAGTCTTCCGTATGACTTTGGGACCAGCAAGAACACCGGGGTTCGATTTTCCTCTCCGAGCTGGAGCTACAACTAATATGCAGGGTTAGAAATTCCCACGTGTGAACAACACGGTGTGCACCAAATACGACTTCATTCGGCGGTCGTATTGTGATGAGGGCGACATATACTGCGCGTCGGGATTTTGGGTTGGGGTTCATAGAAGATACGTGGTGAAATACAAAGACGATGCGACACGGTTTGTGCTGTCGAGAGTTAATGCAGCAATGTGACGGTGGTCGCATGATGCTCTTACTATGGGTTTGTGGCTGGAGATAATTACGCAGCTGTGCTCTTAATCAGATCTATTAGTATCAACCAAGTTCTGCATTTTTAGAGGATCCCCTCAATATGACATGCATTCCTACAAGAGTATATTCTATATGATGGCCTTGGTAAACCTACTATTTCATCATGGGAGGACACCAGGAAATGTGATACATCACATGCAAGCACTTCATGCCCAAGGCATCCATCTGCCAACCCCACCATAAAACAGAGCCAATTCACTTGGTATGAACTTCACTTCCCTCACGCAATCCCAAAACTGATGGTATCGTGACAATGTCCCTCCATGCGTCTAATCTCTTCTCTGTCGAAGGCATCGTCGCCGTCATTACAGGCGGTGGGACAGGTAGGTAGTAGTATGCCTACGTCTCAGTATTATATACTAACAGATATAGGCCTCGGACGGACCATTGCTCTTGCTCTAGACGCCAACAACGCCGCTAAAGTATTTATCCTCGGGCGTCGCGAGCAACCACTCCATGAAACAGCGGCTCAAGCGACGAACCATTCCATCATTCCCGTTGTTGTAGATATCACTTCGCAAGAATCTCTAGAAAATGCATATCGCACCGTAGCGGCCCAGACTTCACACGTCGACCTTTTATTTGCTAATGGCGGTACCAACGGTCCGTCGGCCCATTTACCGCCGAAACTGGATGGGTCACCTCCAACCCTGACTGAATTTCGCGACCATCACTGGGGTCATCGAATGGCCGACTTCTCCGAGACTCTGAACGTCAACGTTACTGGCACACACTATACCATTCTGGCTTTTCTGCCACTACTGGACGAGGCAAACAAGCGCCGCCCACAACAAGATTCTAATGAGCTTGCGCTACCGCATCCCCAAGTGATTGTGACCAGTTCCATATCGGCAACAGCAAACCGTCCATCGAGTCTAGCATATTCATTCTCAAAGGCCGCTCTACAGCATCTAGTGGAAGTGTTTGCCGCCCAGCTCGTACCATACCAAATCCGTGTCAATGGCGTCGCCCCAGGCCTGTTCTATAGTGACCTCTCGAAACATCTATTTGAGAAAAATGGGGTGTCAGGACGTGGAATCTCAGACAAGTCTTTTACATCTGATTTCATCCCTCTCACCCGGGCAGGCAGCGACGAGGATATTGCCGGTACGATACTGTGGATGGCGAGTCGGTCAGGGGGATATCTGAATGGAGAGACAATTTTGCTTGATGGTGGCCGAGCGGCGGTTGTCAGATAGGTTCTGTCGGCCATTATGAGGTTTGATTTTTACTAGAGTCTGATTAGTTAGGTTATGCTACTATGTCTATATTATGGTCAGTCTGAGAGTGCTCCTGATGACTATGTGAGTCCTAAAGATTGACCAACAAAGCAGGAGCAACGATAGAGCATGTATGCATTGGCTTTTCCGAACATGGAAGAGCCATATTATCCTCCCGGGATCACCACACAACCCGATCGTTATGACGATGCATAAGCCCAGTCTGACTCAGCATAGGCATTGAGATAGTTCGAACCAATGAGAATCCACTACATTCCCCAGATCGACATCATGATGGTTCTTATCTTATCAACGCCAATCACTTCCGCTTGCACTCAACTTTCTCCTTTTCATCCTCCATACAACCACCAGCGCGGACTCTATAAAAGAGGGTCAATGACATCCAAAATGCAACAATGTCTACCCACCAATCCATCAAGCGGAAGCCGGTGGCCTTACCTCCTCAAGAAACAGGCATTATCCTAACCACAGCTCCACGACCACAAACCTCCAACGGAAAGACATCAAACACACCAACACCAACACTCAGACCAACCACCAGCCATGGAAGACCCCCCGAACCATATGCACCACCACCGCCCTACTACCAAGGTCCCAATGTCGCACCCCCAGTACCAAAATCCCCAATCAACCTCCGACCACCGCTCCAAACAAGCCTTTCAACCCCACCCCTCCGCAACCACAAAAGCACCCCCAATCTGCGCAATCCGCCATCCGCCCTCACCCGCTCCGCAACCGAGCTCCCTCCCCCGGGCCCAAACGCCATCCAAAAGGCCTACGGCGAAGTCTCCCACTTCCTAGGTGGTCTAATCGCGCACCCGACAGAATCGACCCGCCACTACACAATCCTCCGACACTCCCACGGAATAGTCTTCTACCGCGGCAGCACGACCTCAATCGCCATATCCATTTTCTCCGATACACCTCTCCCCGCAGACAGGACATACTTCCTCCAAAGCCGCGGCTGGACCGGGAAAACAGGCATGAAAGCGAAGGCCCTCTTCCGTCTAACAGATGACTGGCTAGACGTGACGCCCTCATTCGCACTTCGCGCAAACCAAGTCTCTCCGGGCGATGAGCGCGCCTGGCAAAGAGACATTAACAAATTCCGAAAAAAGGCGCCGTCAAAGCTACTAAGCCACAAACTCCGCGAGACCATTGTCGCAAGAATCCCCGCCGAGGCAGGCGACGGCTACTTCCAACTGAACCTCTGCCAATCCGCGAAGAAAAAGGTCCTCTGTTCGAGCCCCGTCTTCAGGGTCCTAAGTACCTCGCTAGACCCCAGTTCACTGCGCGGCGCAAGCCTATCAACCATGCCCCTCGAGGTCGGCGCAATGGTCCTAAGTACATACGCCCAAACAGCAGCGCAAGCGATCCTTAACCCTGTTACATCGGCCGTCTCAAATAGACTGTCACCCTACAAACCAGGCACAGTCACACAAACAGCAGCAGAAACAGCATACTCCCTAAGCGGGGTGGAAGATAGCGTCGCGCGCATAAGAAACCGCAGAGGCAACGATGATTCAGCTCCCGCCGACGAGAGGGAGAGTCGAGCCAGACAAATCCAACAATACCAAAAAGCCGCGGCGTTGGAAAACGGCCCGCAGTCCCCCTTCCCGATGGACTTCAAAGCGCGGACTCAGCCCCAAACTCAGGGCCAATTCGGCGAAACCTCGCGGTGCACACTTACCAAAGTCCCGGATACAGTATTGGACAAATTGCGCGGGTATTTCCTCGCCTGGGCACGCTACGACTTCGACAGGAGGCCATCAAATACACCCCCTAAGTCACCTATTCAGTCTCCAAGTTCACCATACGCTCCTTACAACCCCGACGCAGCATATCTAACGCCATCCAACCTTCAAGACCTCCAAACCCAAGGTCAAAAAAGCCCCTGGTACCCAACAATCCTCTCCATCAGCCCCCTAAACCCATCACACCAGAGCAGGGTAAACCTCAACTCAGCGATGCAAAAAACAACTCTGCTCCGGTTCATTGACGAAATCCATATCCCGACTTCAAGCAGGGTGCAAATCCGCGTCATGTGTTTTCTGCGGCCGGATATCCCTCCTCCGTCTCCGTCTGGGATGACGGAGAGGGATCTTCTCGTTGCGCGAGAGAGGGCAGCCGAGGCGGAGATGCTGGCGGGTGCATGTGACATTGACTGTGCGCAGGGGATCCTTGAGCATCCGGCTTGGGCACCGGAAGTGTTTAGTGCTCCTGAGCGGCAGGGAGGCTGGCTTGGTCGCACGAGAGAGGGGATGGAGAATGCAAGGACGCGAACGGAGAAGATGGTTGAGAAAGTGCCGCTCCATTGGATTGGGGTTCGGTCGGCGACGGCGGAGATGCGGGATCGACAGGTGGAGGTTAATGGGTTTTACATTGTTCGATAGTCGATCTGGTTCGAGATTTTGTATTGTACTTTCCTTTGTATTATATATGAACAATTGTATAATAGCCATCTATCTGTCTGGGCACTACTATGGACAGATTAGTAAATTATAATAATAATAGCATACACTCAGGACACCGTGTTATCAAACCTCCATCCCACACCTCGGACATATTCACTAGGGCTCGCCTTCCATGTCCTCAACATGGCCTTGACTTCATCGTTGAGCTCCAGCTCCGCTGCATCGAGACGTGAAACCAGAATTTGTGCCAACTGGAGCCTCAACGTACCATACAACGAGGTGTGTTCGCTCGTAGGCCCATTTCCAAAAAGCAAGGCACAGGACAATATTTCCGCATGTTCAGGAGTCTCCATTGCCTCTTCCAGGAGTTTGAATTCTGCCAGTAAGGCCGGTTCCTCTACACACCTCTCAACAAGCCGCAGCACACGACGCACAAAGTCTTTCTGCGGCTCCTCTACCAACGGATTTACCTTTGGCGAGGGAAGGATGGTGACCTGCAATTCCAGCCACGAGGGAAGTACCACGGGTTGACGATGCAGACTATTCCGCCATTCCTCGGTCCGGAGGGATTCTACATCAGCTGCGATCTCTTCCAAGGTCCTCTGATAAAGCATCTGGTGCTGGCTTTCGTATTCTGTGTCCCTATACCCACGAGATTTACTTTCAAGCGCTTGTAATGCCTCCATAATCACGTCTGTCGAGACAACGAATTTGCCCTGTTCTGAGGCGAACTTGATTGGATGTCTTGCAACAATGGCCGCACGCTCAACATACTCCGTTGTCAGGTTCTCCATGGTGATTCCGTTGGGGACTTTTGATTTTATAGGTTCGCCAACAAGTTTCTGTAACTGGTCAAATGGCTCCCAGCTTCGACAGAAGTCCATATATTGACTCCAGTGCTTTCCTGCATTTGTCTGTCTATATTCGGGGTCCCGCTTCGCGATCACTTGGGTGACTCTATCTAGCTCCGGATGATGGATGCAGGATAGTGCGTAGTGGCGGTGGCGGAGGATGAAGGACGCTGGCAGATAGTCTTGCCACTTATCCAGGATCTCGTCAATGATTTGAATGCGGAATGGTCCAAAGTCAACGGTCTTGAGAACACTCATGTCCGCGATATTACGGTTGAGAAAGGCCTTCATCCAACGGTTGTGCTGGCGGGCGGACTCGTCCACCAGCGGGAGCAGAACCTTCCGTACGTACTCGGCCCGGTATTCCTTAGGAAGTCTATGGTACGCGGCCTTAACGAACAGGCCAAGGGCTGGACGCTCATCTGCCATCGAAACAGTTGGAAGTTTACCCCCGTTCTCCGCATCTATCCATTCTGTTTCACTGGTCGGCTCTGCTTCTCTGGGCCCTACAACCTGGGAGGCGAAACTGGCAATGGCGCTGAAGATTACCTTTGTGTCAAACGCATTGTCAAAGAGATTCAGGGCAGCAGATACTACCCGCGCCCGAACGTCGATATGATGACTTTCGTTGAACAGGCTCTGCAGCACAGATACGTTCATCGTAGTTGGGAGAAAGGTTGCTTCTGCGAGGATTTCACCTAGCATTTTAACGGTGGTAATTTTGACGAAATGCTTTGGCTGACCTGCAGGCTCGCTATTGTCTGAAGCACTCTGATCGTACTGTTTTTTATTCTGTTCGAGGCGTTTTGTAACAAACTTCGCAAATTGTTCAATGAAGTCTTTGGCCCGGCCTGGTTGAAGTCTTCGGCCAAGCCCGATCAATCTCATGTGTCTGTGATATGATGATGCGTCGGGAAGACGTTGTATCACTCGGTTTACAACATCAACAGCCACTTCTGGCCGATCTGAAAGCCCTAAGAGGACAATAATATCAGTCACGCCAGCCAGAACCGTCCCATAAGAGGCTGACTTTGGAGACAGGTCTTCGGCCGTATCCAGTAGAGACATCGCCGAATCGCGTAGCAACCTAGCCGGGACTGCCTTGATGAACTTTCTCAGCGCTAGTGTGGCTCTCTTCCCAGCAGCAATGCTATCCTGTCTTGCGGACATCACAAAGCGGTCGTCCAGCGAAACCCGTGGATATCTTATGAATGCCTCGTTGGGGAAAGGGCTGGAGACGAGTGGCCTTTGGCTCTCGTTGGTATGTAGGAAGAGAATAGAGGATAGAATCACAGCCTCCTGGCATTCTAGAAACGGATTGTCAAGCTTGATCGGAGGCGTCTGGTCCAGGGTCCAAATCGACAGTGGATCAAGCACAGCTCTGTCCTGCGAGAATGGGACAGTCTTAGACTCGGGTATCTCCTCATACATACGACAATACAGCAATGTGACGGGGATATTCACTGGCTCTTCGTCCGCCTGTTCCTCAGAATACTCACACCTAGGGTCCCACACAAATATGCCATGAGACTTAGGATCTTGATCAAGAAAGCTAGTATTTGGTGTCCGAGTATCTAGATCCTGATCAATAACCGCCGATGCCTCAGGGACCTTCATTGTTTCAGCCAAACCGCGAAGCCATTGTCGAAACGCCTGTAGCTGCTTAAAATGCTGCTGGCTTCCAGCCGCAAAGTTCTCCAGCTCAGATTTGTAATATTGAAAAAGGCTTACAAGACGCGTTTTGTTTTTCTCTTCTCCCATACCAATGTAGGATTCAATAGCGTAGCGCAAACTGTCGACCCACTCATCCCTAAGCATGACATGTGGTTTAGGCGTCAATGTATCATGAAAGGGGGCCTTCATAACATCTTCCAGTCTACTCCGGAGATAAGGTGCTGCGGTTGTATGCTGTAGCGCGTAGTGCGCCCACCGTGTACCAGGAACAAGGTATTGGATGGGGAGCCCCTTCGGCCAGCCCTTCCCGAGGTGGCTGATAGCAGGGTCAGTGTTGGTGCGTGTTTCTTGCCACAGTCTGTCTCTTCTCTCTGCAAGATTGTCTACAAACATAACAACAACTTCCGCCGGTTGGGCTGGGCATTCCAAGTTTGCCAGTAGACCTTTCAACCTGTTCTTGTTGGTTATTGGTTCTTTGCCAGGCTGCACAATACGCTCATATGTCAGGAGTAATGGAATAAGAGGGTTCAGGAGCACATTTGCAAGCCCGGACTGGCTACCAAGTGGCTGATACTGTTTCAACCCTCTTATTCGGCTTTCCACGATCTTGGATATAAACTTGAGCAGCCGGTTTATCGACATCATTTTACCGCCTGGTTCTTGACTCGCAAGGAGCACGAGGTCAAGGACATTATCTAATGACTTGTTTGCGCCTTGCACAATGTCGTTGAGCTGCGATAAAGATGCCGGTCTGCGGGCTGGGCTAATATCAATACATGAAATAAAGCTAGCGACTTCAGCGCCTAGTATTTTGTCCTTCATCAAATCCGGAAATACGAGCTACTCGTGTTAGCAAGGTTAAAGGACAGGATGCTTGACATACCGGATCGCGCAAGAATCTCTGTGTCCACTGGACCACCGAAGTAAAGATATCTGCGGAGGACGTCGCAAGAGCAGCGTCCACAGCTGCCCCGGCCCATTTTAATCGATGTTCATGATCTCTCCCTCGCCTGCCTTGTTCCTGCATCTCCTTGATAACTACTCACATTAGCCTAATTCACTAAGCATATAATCTAACATACCCTTATGAGAAAAGGGAAGGTCGCCAGTGTGTGTGGCTCGTGCTTCCCAGCCGATTTTCAAAAGGCACTGGTTGGTCCAACTAAGAGCCTGCACTTCTGGCGGTGTGGGCATGAACTCCTTACAACCGTGAATAGCCAGCATTCTGTCGAACAAGCGTTGTGCGTCTGTATCCGGTAGTACACGTAGAGTCTCAAAGTGCCATATGGGAACGAGCTTTTTTTCTCGCTCAGACGGAGGAGCCATCTCAATGTCAAACTTCAAGTGCTCTGATTGTTGACAAAACAATCTGATAAACTCAAGTCTCTCTGACGGCGCGATCTGTTCCAGTAGCTTAGTCTCGATAAGCGGACTGTTATCCTTCAGATTCTCTCTTGGATCTGCCGTGGAGTTTATTAAAAGCTTCATTATTGACTCTAAAGCCATCTCGTCATCTCTAGTTGGCCGGGACCTATAATTGCTCCTTGTAAACCGTTTCACTGTCGATTCAGTAGCAGTGCCAGTCGTCCCGCATCGAGCTATAGACCAGCAGCCGATAATCTCCTGAAACAGGGGCCCAGTAAGGGAGTCATCCAATAAGGTACGCGTCAACCGCAGCCAATGCGGGGTCATGTGTTGAAGAAATATTGTGATGTAGTTGGATGGCAAATTCTTCCGACACGCGAGCCTCAGCGCCTTCTTTATGTACTCCTCCCGAGCCCCTCCTACCATGATGGCGAGTAGGAAATTATCAGACATCACATGATAGAGGTCTAAGCAGAACACTAGACCGGCAGGCATATCGGATGGAAGATCCCTTGCGAGCAGAGGGGTATAGGGTTTAGGAGAATCAATCAAATCATGTACACGATCTTTCAATACTCTTACTTGTGCTTCCAGAGGCACTGAAATGTGGCCGACAGCAACCTGCCGTACAAGATCCGCGTGCGATCGACCCAATTTCTGGACCACCCACACCAGCGATGGTCCCTCCGGCAGGCCTGACAGCAAGTCCTTCAGGAAAGTGGAGCTACACAATGGATACAAGGGTCGCAGAAGAAATGGTGACAACCGAGATGGACTCTCTCGTTGTAAGAGACGAATGAGATCTTCCACGCAAGTCGATAGAATCTCCGGCTCGGCGACATGCTGACATGTTGCAATAGATTTGAACACCAGAACGACCTCCCTTACAGAAAGCTCAGTGAGAAGGTCCCTGATGCCCTCCGCGCCGCCAAGGGCATCCCACCCTTGTATTTTCCATTCCTTGCTATGGAAGGCGCGCGTTAATGCTCGGATGCCGGCTTCACGCACGCCATGAGAGACTGGATCATTAATGGCAGCTTGAAGTACATCTGGGACAACCCGCAAGGCAATTGGCAGCCAAACGCCGTACACGGCAGGAGGTAGAGCCTCCTCGTATGTCAGTTCTAGCAGGCGACGGTTGAGTTCCTGGACCTGCTCAACCGACGATTGGCCCTGAAGGAGGCTGTGAAAGTGTGATGCTAGAGCTGAAAATTCATGTCGAAGGAGGGCTTTTGGCTGAAATGTGGTATTCACATCCATGGTAGTTTTTGTCTGACAACTATTGTAAGCTCTGGACTGCGACCGTCTAAATATGTACTAGTGGGTCAACATCAGCAAGACTCATGTAGTCACAGTCTCTGACTCGCATACCGTGTCTCAATTTGAGACTAACAGGCAGCGACCGAGTGATCCCACCCAATTCAGTTAACCATTGGACGTTGGTATACTGTTGGTGACGTCGGATTATGTATTTCCCTCTTGCCTGGATGTCGGACTCTCTTTCAGGAAAGATCCGAGGTCATACAATGTATTTGCATCCTTTGCACATTTTGCATCTGTTTGCAAAGGGCCGTTCATTGTGATTGAACCTCACCATCGCCAGTCACCTCTCCTTTAAACGACTGGTTGTTTTTTTCTGTTGAAGAGGAGTTAAGTAAAAGCATTGTTTAAGTACGAAAACAATGACGTTGATTTGGTGTTGTTTTCTCTCAAAGTTCTCCCTAAGTTTGTGGTGTTTACTCTCAGTTACCATTGTGCACTTACAAATATATATATGCTCCGTGAGTGTCTCTTCTGTGCTTATGTACTTTGTAGTGTAATTTGGTAGCTGCATATCTCTCGATGCATATGAATTCCAGCGTGAGTTTCGTTTGACATGACGCACTAATCACCCATTAGTCGTCCTGGCACATCTACGGAGTACAGCCAAAAACCTTCAGACGGTACCTGAGGGAGGAATCAACATCCGCCGGAAGAACAAAAGGTCCGCGAACTAAAATAAGAATGACCCACGTAGGTACCAAAAAAAATGCCCGAACAGGGACAACTTTATCATGAAGATAAGATGGATGGGGCTGGTGGGTCACGCATATCATAACGAATCGCATACGTAATAAGCGCCTTATCTGTCCCAGTGACGATAGTAAAACAATAATGCATTGATTTGGTATCATTGAGAGCGGAAAGATAGCTATGGAGATATTAAACTACGCTTGCACATAGGCATGCACCTCGTAACTGGAATCCCGAAATTAGGAGAATGAGCCGAGATAAAAATCATTCGACCAGCGCCATCAGCTTCCTTCCCCACGTATCCCTCGGTCGGGGTGGTTTCTCCGCCGCCAAAATCTCCTGTAATCCAGTTTGCAAGTCCACCTCTTCTGGTCGCCACGCCCATGGATCCTGCCAGAACAAAATCCGGTGACCGGCGTACAAGACGAGGAAGGCGGGAATGCCAATGTAAGCGGTGAAGAAGTTGGACGCGGACCATTCCGACGGGAAGAAGCAAGTGAAGCCGTTGATTAGCGCCAAGAAGATCGCGCCACCCATGCCGATATACATGCCATAGGGCTGCATGACGGAGCGGTAGGGCTTCTCGATGCCTTGCACGTGGATGGCCTTATTCCACCGGATGTAGATGATACCGCAGCAGGTCCAACTGATAAATCCGGAGGTGTTGGTGAAGTTGATCAGCCAGTTGAAGACCGTGTTGCTGCCGCTCCCGACAGAGAGGTATGCGAGAAAGAGGAAGAGGGAAGAGACGCCGACCGCGTAGTAAGGGACACCCCACCGGTTGCAGGTTTTGAAGACTCTGGGAGCATTGCCCGACACCGCAAGACTGTAGAGCGAGCGGGAAGACATGTAGAGGAAGGAGTTTCCGGCCGACCAGGCGGAAGTAAGGATGGCCGCGTTGACGATGTGATTCAGTGCGGGAATTCCGGCGTTGGCAATCGCGACGACGAAGGGGGAGGACGAGGCGTCGTGGCCGTCACCGTTTACCAACTCACTGGCGTTGGAAGGGCAGATGACGCCGATCGCGAGCGAACCAAGGAAGTAGAAGATGACGAGTCGGTAGATATAGCGACGTGCAACCTTAGGGATGTTCCGGCGCGGAGATTCCATCTCGCCGCCACTGATGACCACGAGTTCGGGGGCAAAGAGGAACGCGATGGCACTCTTGACGATGCATTGCAAGAGACCAACAAAGCGACCGCGATCCCCACTGACCAGGTATGTGTTCATGACACCGGGGTCTTTCCAGTAATGAAAGCCGAGACGCTGACGGTTCGGACCGCCGCCCCAGAAGAGGATGAAGGAGAGGAGGAGAAGGCCGATGAGGGTGATGATTTTGATTCCGGCAAACCAGAATTCGCTCTCCCCGTAGGCGCCGACCGGAAGAAAGTTGAGTGCTACAATGACCACGAGCATGATGGTGATCCACACGGCGATGTGGACGCTATTGGGCCAGTAGTCGATGACCATGGACGCGGCGACGATTTCATAGGCTGCCAGAATCGCCAACGAGTACCAGTAAAGGTATCCCATGGCGAAACCCAAACTCCGTGAGACGTAGCGAAAGCCATGATAGCTCATGGTGCCACCATGGACCGGCATGTAGGCCCCAACCTCAGCGATTCCAGTCACAATCGCATAAATGAGTGCCGAGATGAAGGTGTAGCCCAGGAGCAGAGACAGCGGCCCACCAATGACTAGCGCTTGACCGGAACCCACGAACAGACCGGTACCAATTGTGCCTCCCAATGCCATCAGTTGTACATGTCGATTTTTGAGCCCGCGCTGGGTATTCATGTATCGCTCATCTAGCAGGTCGGCCTCCACCATGGCCTGCATGGTGCCCGACTTGACATCGCCGGACTCAGGGTCATGGGAATAGGACGCCGCCGGAGCGACTGTGGGTTTTTCTCCGGAACCCATGTTGCCGTAGTCCAGAGTCGGGGTAGGATTCAGCAATCAGAGTAACGTGTTGTTTTTGAGAACAGGTCAACAGAGCGAGAGGGGAGGCCACGCGCGGGACACCCTCGGTTATAAAGTCGCAAGACGATGCGGGCCAAGACGAGAAAAGAGCAAGCCACTGGCTTCGGGCGTAACATGTGTTGCCTTATCGGCAGCTACACCTCCTAGTTAGTGAGTCCTACTAGTACTAGGGAGTAGTGACCTCGCACCGTATTCGTCTTAGTCGGGCTTCATGAACGGGAAGAATTCGGCCGGTACGCACGCTCACTGGTTGGACCGGCCAAGAAATTGGGCGGACGTGAAGTTGCGTCCGGTTGCTGATAAGAAGGAATCGACATGCGGGGAAATTTCATACCTGGTCGTGTTGATCTCCCGGTGATTGGAGGGTGAAGCTCAGGTGGCTTGCTTTAGGGTTCACGCTTATCAGCGGTTGACTTCCTTCGTTTCTTTCTTGTCCATCTTTTGGCTAAGTTGCCCCGTGGCGTGGGATTTCTTAACTCCTCTGGGGCTGATGTTTGAATGTGGAGCGCATACACACAGCGATAATGTCAATTCCATTACAATCAATTTGCATTCACTCATTCATGGCTGCGGTTGTTGCAAGTACCATATCATATCATATCTACCAAGGGAAAGCCCCGATAAGGGACCCCCCATGTGAAACCGGAGATATCAACGAAACCACTCGAGCCTCCCACCACTCCCTTTAGCCTTACCACCTGCATGATAATCCCTCATCCACGCCACTCGGCGAGCTAATTAATCGCCCCGGATAGTTAAATCTTAATTCACCGGTCCGGACACCGGTCCGGATGCTGGAGGCGTGGTTATCATGGCACCGTCAGGGGGTGTGAACGTCAAAATGAAGCATATCTGGAGAGACCCACGGACATCTCGCTTACGGTTCAGCCTCCATTAGTCGCTCTTCCTGCAATCGTACCCAGTGATGTCCAATGTTAGAGGGCGCGCCGACAACGGTTTTGATAGCGGGCCGGTATGCGACAGTGCCGGTGACTTGACATGCATCAGATATCTCCGGCCCATGAGAAGTGCAAGATCACGGAGCATGCGAACAGATCTCCTCGCCAAGAACTCTCATTTATCCTCCAGTTATATGCCGCGTAGATCAGGATGACGTTAATCCATCAAATTTTCATGAATGCTATCTTCATAAGTGATCAAAGCGCATTTACGCGAGCGTATCAAGCCAAGTATAGCCCAAGAATAACCATTATACCACTTTCGTCAAGGGTCCATAGGACCGTGAAGATAGTCCGATTCAAGTATACTGGTCACGACCCCATCCGCTGATCCGATCCCAGTTCACTACCAGAATTCTCCCGCCACGCTCTTGACCCTCACGCTCAAGCCGCCGAAGAAGTCGCATGTCCTGCTGAGTGAGGATCTTGCCGTCCACCCTTCGTTCCCATGCGGCCTGGGTAACCACCGGGGCCAAATCCTCCGCGATACCAGCTTCGTCTCGGTTCCGTGCGTAGATGTGCTGGGATCCTACCTCTTGGGAAAACAGCCACACGGACCCAACAACCGCATACCGGCGTTCTAGAAGCCAGATAATCGGCCAGGTGATCAGCCACAGTTGAAGAATAAGACAGGTATAGTACACAAAGTTATTGTTACGGGCACGGTTAATCCAATGTGGCGAATAGACCGTAAACGACTGGTTGGAGAAGGATGTGGAGATGTCGATGTTGCCTTGGTAGTTGAGGGACCGTAGATGGGAAGTTAAAGTAGAATGGATGATGGACGAGTTGAAATTCTCCATGTGACGGGTGAACGTGAAGCTACGCCACTAGATTAGTATCATGTGTGTCAAGCAAACGAAGTCAACAAACGTACGATTTGACGGGCGATGGGTCCTGACAGAACCGCTCACACCAGCCCATAAGATCCGGCCCTGCATCATCCTCGACCAACCCGACATTCTCAGTATCAGTACCGTCTTCTATGCTTGGTAGCCTGATGCCCCTCCCTCTTGCATGTCGCTTCCACGTACGCGACCGACATCGTCCACCCCGATATATCTTCTGCCCATCCCCGTCCCGCGCTACGCGCAACTGAAACCAGCCCGCGTCGCGATCAGGGTCGCCCACCAAGTAGTTCGCGATATTGATCCGGAAGTCAAAATCGACCACCGACTCTGTGCGATTTTCCTTGCGATCATTTCGGTCGGGATGAGTCTCTTGGTGTGCACCGCGGACACTTAGACACGGTCGTGGGGGAATGCGAGCCTCGTGGCTGATAAGACTGTGGAGTGCGGCGGGATCTTTGCTCAAAAAGGGCGACATGGTGGTAGACGGTCGCTCGGTCATTTCAGAACTGTCATTGTCTTGTACTTGATTCTCGGAGACGGGGGGTCCCGCTGTGGCAGGTCCAGCCAGAGGAGGCAGAGAGTCGTTGTCAACATTGTCCAAAGAGCGTTGTCCCCCCGAGACGACCTGTTCGTACGGAGGGGGAAGATCGTTGGGATCACAATTCGGCTGTAGCTTGCCCATCGTAGGACTGCAGTATTGATATGGACTATAAATAAGTGTGCGGAAAGGACGGTTGTGACTGCTAAGGTTGGAAACCTGAGGCGATGAGATAATTCGCTATCTGTCATGTGTCATAGTTGCTGCCTGATCAATGTGGGCTTGGCATAAGGCAGAAGCACTGCCAAGAACCCGTTCATATAACCAGGGGGGTGGCCTAGGTAGTAGACTGCCCCGTTGCCTACTACTAGTATTGAGGCCCTTTCAGCTAGTCCACAGTGCTATGGCTGTCAAGTGTCAACACTGCCCTATTCTTAGCCCCGCACCCGCTAGATTACCTCCGTAAACCTTCCCCCACTTTTCATTCACGCATGCTCCACTCAGAAACACACTCGGAGAGACCCACCCAGCAGTCGAAATACTTACTGCTAGTTAACATGCATTCACAGTGGATCGTAGTATCCTGAGAAAGTCTTACAGAAAGCCACAGGACATCAGGTAGCCCTCAACAGGCTCATTTCAGAATACATTGCCAAGATTGTTGGTTCGATCAGTCACTACAGCCATAAGTTACCATTACCCATAGCCAGGCCGTGGCGCTAACATATACCAGGGTTTCGCTAGTTTTCCAGGGATAAGACTAATGATGCTCCGTTGCAGGGTTGTCTCCTGAAATTGTCGCGAGAATGCATGTTTATTGTGGGTGGACATCGATATCTCGCGTTCGTGTATAGTTTGTATCCTCTAAGACCGTCTTTACGATTTCTTGAATCAACATCTTCACCCCGTCACATGGCGTCAGACATCAAGCGTGTAACTTCACGCTGTTGCTCGCCCAGCCAAATGCTGTACGGAGTGGTCTTGCTCATCCTAGCAAGGGTATTTAGTCCATTGTCTCATGGTCAGACGTTGGGCCATGTTGATACCTAAATGGTGATCTTTGGAGGCAGATGCGACCGAGCCACAACACCTGGTGTTAGCATCTCCAGCATATTCCACTTCGTTGCATGCATGGTTTTACGTGTGGAGTTGAAAGCCTTTCGCGTATCCAAGCCCTTAGCAGGGGAATGACAGTTTCCATTCGGGTCGCAGGAGATTTCTGTGGCAGATACATAACATGGTATCTTGGCCACATGCGTAACGAGATAAACAATATGGTATGCCGAGCCAATTGAACCGGTCGACCCAGGTAAGTGTGACCGACAGAAAATTGACACCCATTGAGGGAGAGAATACAATTGAAAGGCGCGTACAGAAACATGCCTTTTCTCCATAAATGCTGTGATCGTCAGGTACAACAGCCTGAATCAACTGACATTCTCTGCCCTTGAGCATCACTCACATGTTTCTATGGTCTGTGATCATGCTACTCGGAGATACATTCCGCAGTGGATTCGTTCATAGTGTCATGCAGAATAATAGAGATCGGCGCGAACCGACTATACTGTGTACGTGCAACGACTACTTAGGGAATCGACGTTTCAACTACCGACTCGCGTTCTCCACTATACCCCATCCTCCACGGACCGAAACACCTCCAGTGCCGAGTTAATTAAATAATTTCCCCACATTTCTGCACAGCGTCCAGTCGGAAAAATTGTCACAACACCTGTTTCAACATTTCCTGCAATCTGACTTGACCATCTTGCTTGCAAGCGCTTAGCTGAGTCCGTTCCAAAAAGAGACATGGAGCTCTGTTCTGGATCAAGAGCGGAGCATCGTCCGATCCACACGTGGGCCCAGGATGTCGACCAGGCGCGCATTTCTCCAGATTATAAGAACACCTGGACCTCGAGGAGCTAGCTGCCTTTCAGAAACAGGAATTGCACAGCCAACAGCAACGCATTGTCCCTCAAAGCAAGCATCATGAAGCTTAGCCCTTCACTCCTTACCGCGGCCGGCCTAGTGTCGGCCCAATTGGCCTCTGCCCTTCCCCAAGCGTCATCTTCAACCGTCTCGCCCAGTCCGACTCCTTCTGCTACCCCCGGTTCTTTCGTTACCACTTCAGGTCTCAATTTCGTGATCGACGGCAAGACAGGATATTTTGCCGGCTCCAACTCATACTGGATTGGATTCCAGAAGAACAACGATGATGTGGATCTCGTATTCAGTCACTTGCAAGAATCCGGTCTCAAGATCCTTCGTGTCTGGGGGTTCAATGATGTCAACGAGAAGCCCACTGATGGCTCTGTTTACTACCATCTTCTGGCAGATGGTAAGGCAACCGTCAATGAGGGGGAAGACGGTCTTCAACGACTGGACTACGTGGTCTCGTCGGCAGAGAAACATGGCATTAAGTTGATCATCAACTTCGTCAACTTCTGGGATGATTATGGTGGCATCAATGCCTACGTCAAGGCTTTCGGTGGGTCTAAGGAGGAATTCTACACCAATGACGCTATGCAGGAGGCCTATCGCGCGTATATCAAGGCCGTTATTTCGCGGTACAGCGACTCGTCGGCTATCTTTGCATGGGAACTGGCCAATGAGCCCCGTTGCCAGGGTTGTGAAACCACCGTGCTGTATAACTGGATCGAGAGTACCAGCCAGTATATTAAGTCGTTGGACTCGAAGCATTTGGTTTGCATTGGTGATGGTAAGTGAGCCTGGTCTTGTCCAGTATCACAAACTCTAACAAAAACAGAGGGCTTTGGCCTCGAGACTGGCTCGGACGGAAGCTACCCGTACCAATACTCTGAGGGAAGTGATTTCGCCAAGAACCTGGCTATTCCCACGATTGACTTCGGAACCTTCCATCTCTATCCCAGCAGCTGTAAGTTTCTATATTCAGAGCAAGCTGAACGGTGGAAGCTAATGCTGTTAGGGGGGACCACAAATGACTGGGGTAACGGCTGGGTCACTTCGCATGGAGCAGCCTGCGAGGCGGCTGGGAAGCCTTGCATGTTCGAGGAGTACGGAGTGACCTCGGATCACTGTGCCGTTGAGAAACCCTGGCAAACCACGGCACTGAACACGACTGCCCTTTCCGCTGACCTCTACTGGCAATATGGAGATCAATTGAGCGGTGGACCATCGCCAGATGATGGCAACACCTTCTACTACGGAACTGATGAGTTCACATGCCTCGTTACTGACCATATTGCTGCTATCGGTAGTCGCACTTGAGACGAAGTGTGCAGGTGAGATGGTGAAGAAAGAGTTGTACAGGAAAGCACTTGTTGACCAATGTATCTTTGAAATAAAATGAAGTACGAGGTTCACTCTAAGATATCGCACAAATACCCATTCCTTCGCTGGAGGTGTAATGCAGCATCTTTTCACTTCCTAAATTGTTGTAACGGAAATTGAAATGAATACCGAAGGGGCAATGGAATAGAATAGTGTGACACAGCATACCTATCGTAGCTCTTTCAGGATTTTAAATGATCGACCTCTATTAGTGAAAGAGACAAGAATAGATTGAGATATGCTCAGCTTCGTATACCATTAAGCTGCATGGCACATATTACCCTTGTAGCTGTAATGATGAGCAATTCTACACATATTTCCCTAGATAGAATAATACAAGTATCCAATTTCTTAGTCCTCTATTTGCTCTCCATGACTTGACTGGACACTATCATACTATCAATGCAGTAAGGGGTGTAGTAGAGCAGTGGAGCAGGAGATGAGACTATTTTGCACCGCAACCACCTTTAGGGGGTAGGTTGGGGACAGAGACCCCCCCCCCAGGGCTTTTTTCCTTTCATACACACGGAGCTCCTTGCCTCAAAATGGATATACCTCGTTTCGCATATATCCTAAACCCGCACACCCTGAGGATGCCCTAGGCATGCACCGATTGCACATGTCAACCCGAGTCCGCGTGTGGCTACCAATTCGGTTTGTATTTTCTGAATTCTCTCATCTTTGAAGCTCTTTCTTTCTTTCCTTTTCACATTCAAAACTTCTTCAGTACTATCGTCACCTCTTTTAAGTATCATGCCACTTTGAGGCACAAAGGATCACATAAAAGAAGGTTTGTATTATCTGTAATGGCATCGGTCTTATGGGCAGGTTTTCTGTCGGGTGGAGGACTGTTCTAAAGCCACCGTATGCCCCTTTCTAAATCATTTCGAAGGACTTGACATACTTCTTTTATTAAGAATACTAACTGATTATTAATCACTGTAGAAGCAGTTCTCAGAAATGAATAACCTTCGCACACACTTCAGCAAGCACAGCAGTATCAAAGTCAAGGATGGAGATAAAGGAAATCGCGCGTCACAGAAGGGGGTTAATGAAGTAGTTAATAAGTGTTTCATAAGCAGTTCAAGAATTAGTAAGGGAGTCCCTAACGACTTTCTAACCGCTTACTGACTATTTGCATATAGCTTGGTACAAAGCACTTTTTCAAGGTGCGGCGGCTCCTTAATAATCCCGAGCCAAATGAATTGAGGGCAGATTCACGAACCTGGTGAACTATGCCTGTACCAAAATGTGGTCGGTGAGGTTTATCTACGTAAGGGCTATGAGAAAATCGCCCATGGAGCGAAAGGAGGGGGAGAAATTTGCGATTTGGAGAGAAAGCTTCCAACTCTCGAGGTCAAGGGCTCCATAATTGGATAGTGAGGTGTGCCAACGCCACTCTAGCTCAATACTTTACACATGAGTATCCAGTTTCAGGTGGCTGCATGTGCTCGGAATCTGCATGCTCAACATAGTATCAGGCCGTCTTATTATGATAGCTACAGCCCTGCCCTAGGATACACAAGTATGAGTTCTACTCATACTTTGGCGGTATTATTGAACACCTTATTCATTTTATGAAAGTCTCGCAATGACAGTGTGTGGCGGCAAACCATCCAATAGCAAACAAATAGATATTTACGAGCTATAAGTGCCACATACCAGGTCAAGTGTCCCCAATGTCACAATCGTCAAGGAGGCCAATGGGCATTAGCTTATGCAACTTATTTCGAGTGGCTCCACTAATGACCAAGATATCGGATTATGGCCATGTTTATTCGCAGCTTTTAGGGCCAGGTGAATAGCGACCTGGTGGTACAAGGACTTCCATTCTTCGTCCAGTAGTCGAAGGTGGTTAGGTGACAGTGTGCTTCGAGCCGAACATCCTGGTCCATGTATATTTCGCTAGAAGATCAATTGAACCCCGCATATGAAGTCGCCATCCAGCCGCACTTTCGCCAGACCGCCTGCGTGACTTTTGCAAGGGTATACTTGCCATACTCGCCTGACGGCAACGGCTATGTATACATTACCCCGCCGAAGGCTTGCTCAGTTTCCTGGATACTAGTTGACCTGCCCGTTCGGAGGCTTCATTTGAATGCTGCGAATGATGTCCGCGTCATCTTCTGCTGGGTTGATGTGATTACGGTCAGTTTGAGCATGCCGGTGATAACATTTGAATACGAGAAATTACGCCAACAAGGCTTGTTCTTGGGCACACCTCATTCCGCTGCCGCCGTGTACTCTTTCTACAGAAACGAAAAGTATAACCAGGAGGCGGGTCTCTGGGCGGAACCCAAGTCCGGGTGGGTGTCGTTCAATCACCGGTTCGCTCGGGAGTGGAAGGATATCGACACGGCTCGTCCGCTCGCGGGGCCGAATGACGATAAGGTCGTTGTCAGTGTAGCCGACTCCAAGTTCAACGGGAGTTGGGATATCGTGGACGGTAGCGTTACCATTGTCGGCATCGATGCCAAGGGAGTGGAATGGCCGATTGTGAAATTGCTGCAAACCACGATTATCGATTACCACAACGGGACGTTCATGCATGCTTTCCTAGGCCCTACTGACTACCACCGTCAACATGCGCCCGTGAGCGGTGAGATCATCGAGGTCACGAATATCCAGGACCAGGTCTACCTCCAGGTTGCCACCAAGAATGGTCACCTGTCCGGCGACCGGAGGCTGGTCCGGAACCCGCATATGATCACGAGACGCAGAGAAAAGCTCAAGGGTGGTGATGACTTTTACGATCTGAATGCTCCGGACAATGCCGGGTATCAATGGTGTCAGACCCGTAGGCTCATTGTCATCCAGACGAAGGACTCTAGCAAGGTTGCGGTGTTGCCCGTTGACATGGCTCAGGTGTCTTCCGTGGTGATGACAGTGAAGAAAGGCGATCATGTCAAGAAGGGCGCGACAACATCTCGGATTTCCAATTTGGGGGTTCGGACGTGGTTGTCGTCTTCGAGAAGAAGGTCACGTTCAAGTCCGGTCTGAAGCCGGGTGAGACGAAATTGAACGTGAGGTCGGAATTGGCGAGGTTTCAGTGAGGGACGCGGGGCGCTCTTGTCCTGGGCATACCGTCAACAAAGGCTTGGTGTGTATCTTGGCTGTTCTTGATCTGTAATGTAATCGCCCGGGTCAGACCAAATGGCAATCTTCTCATTCGTTCATTTGCTCGTCGTGCGGATCCTTCGGGATCGGATGTAAGCCTTCGCAAGCATGTCAGACGGAGTACACGGACGCCAAGCCCGTTCTGTCACGGCATCTCTGGAATATGCCTAGACCTGGGGTGATTACCAACCCAAAGCCTAAGTGCGCATGCGGAGTATCAAGTTCTATATTGCTAGTATTAAGTAGAAGGGTTGTTGTGGTGGGTTCGGAGGCGACTTACGGTGGCAGTCATGTGACCAGACCAGATTTGTTTGTCCGCATGACCCGATTATGCTACACGCTCGATAGATGACCTTGAAGTGCCAGTTCTCGATTTTTACTGCAGCATAGGGGCACAAAGGCACTTTATTGTAGAAGCAACTTTGGTTTACGGCACTCTCATAGCTTTGGGGACTAGCTCGTTGCCATAGATATGTTGTATACGTCTTTTGTTCGAAAAAATATATATCTACGTAAGAAGTGTAAATTGAGCAGTTTAACCTGAAATTGTGAACTCACGTCAATCATATGAATACAATACTATATCTAGAGAGATTTTGCATAGAAAAGCTAGCATCAAGCTACGCAATACTTATTGGGAGGGATGCCTATAATCCGCAACGTTCCGCCTACAACGGCAGACGGAAGTATACAGCAACAGAAACTCAAAAAGCCCAAGGAGCTACTAGCACAGCCCCAGAATTCCCGGTCGAATGGTAAGCTATGAAATGTTTGTTCAGCACAGATAGATCTGTGCATTCCAGTATCTTCTGCAGAGGTATCAGGCCAGTTCGGGATCAAGCCTTCGGCCGATCACCCCGGACATCGGGACTGTCCGAAAAGCAACGCAAAGACCCCATACGAATACAACGTGGCGATCTAGATAAGGTCATGCAATAGACGACGTGAGAGCCTCCATCCGGACTGGTCACTTATGATTCAAGCAAGTAGTAGTGCGTATGAATGGCGAAAATAGAACAGCTTTTGGATTTCTGGATCACCTGGCATGAAAAAAGGTAGGCAATGCGGTGGCGTGTGGAGAAGCAATCGTGGGTCGGAAGATGATTGATCCGGAAAGACAGGGTCGGCTTTTGCCTGGAATGGAAGTTTCTACGGAAGCGAAAGAATTCCAGAGGTTCCAGGTCGGTCGCCGTGGAGTTGCTCCAGAACAGAAAATTTGCGGGGGGTACGTCATTCAATCTAAGCGACCACATGACGACGAAGCCCTATTTGGACAAGAGTTTTTCCGCGCGTTTCCGATTAGTCTGTACAAGGTCGGGGATGTTGCTTTTCTCTAAGGGGTTAAAAGGGATGAGGGGTTTTGATAAATTTTTTTATTTTTTAATATTCATTTTTTATCTTGTAATTTTTTTTTTAACTTCCTTAAAACTAACGAACACTGATCTTATCGAAACGAGTATAGATGTTCGTAGCGATCATTTCGATAAGTTAGAGTTCCTGGTCATTTCTAGAATGTTTTGTTGACGAGTCGCTAATTTCCATCCACAAAGCTTGGATGGTTCTGGAGCCAACCATGCACGAGATCCAACGCCACCGACGAGAGTCGGCTCGGTCGGGACAAACCAAGATGTCTGAGAAAATCCAACAAGCAACGATGCCGTGAAGTTGATTTTCGGTGCCGATGGCTCGACCATTTCGGTCGGCATTGCTCTGTTTTTTTCACGGTAACATGGACTCAGCCGTCCACCGTACTATTAGTAATAGTAATAAGGGTATTGCCATTACGGAGGCTCATGTGACCATGATACCGTTCGCACATTCGATGGCGTTGTAAATTCTATAGTAAATTGATGCTATAAGCGATATTATCAGAGTCGTAGGCAGTGACGTTCGCTCCGCATTTCCCCTCTTTTAATCGCGGTCCCTGCATCCTGATATTCTCCAGGTTGGGCTTCACCGGTCAACAGAAATGGAAGTCTCCCCTCGTTTTCTCCATATCACCTCCAGGAAATGCCTCTCCCACACTCCCCGTGAAATTCCGGCCATGTGTGGCCGATGATGCCGAGATTCTGGAGTTGTGGGTGGCGCTAGTCCAGGGACAGTTAAGCTCTGCTCGACGTTTTCGGTCCAGTGCTCCACACCCCCGGCACCTGGACTCGTGACTGGTCAAACCCCAACAAATCCATTTCTAGAGAATGAATACACACATGCCACATCGACGCAGGATGTCTTCGCCCCAAAGCCAAGACGGCTTCAGTCACCGTATTCCTTCTAGGCATGCCGAGGCCACTACAACCTATTGCGAACGGTTACACACTCCTTCCGAAGCCGACAGAACTCTATTGCTGGACCTGGTAAGCGACGTCATACGGGAACCACGGTTAAATCCTGACACGCGCCTCAACCCAGTTATGACCGTCAGTGGCGCTGATCCCTTCATCTCGCTGTATCTCCGCCAGTCTCCAGGCTGCGTCCCGATGGGGTTGGCCACCACGACGAACCAGAGGCGACCCCGAGGGGCCGTGGATCCCGAACTGTTGCCTGTCCCCCTGTTGTGCCGGCCGTTTCCTCGCACTTCGGCTGGCCTAACTGGCTCATGGCTGTCGGTTTCGACCGGCCTCTTCTCCAATCGTTTGCGAGCCCTGGATGGTAATGCGGGTAGCGTTGTCAATTATCCCCGTGTCCCGGACGGACACTGGCCGTGAGGTCGGCTCTCCACATTGGAACTCTCCTCCTCACTAGTTTCTCGTGGAAATTTTCTCCCTTCCCTTTTTGAATATTTTTTTTTTGCCTATTTTTCGCATGAGGTTTTAACATAAAAAGGACACAGATCTCCCCCTTTCTGAATTCATAATTCCAATTCCCACATCTGTCTTCCCAAACAAAACTGTCCCCTAACCCTAGAGGTATACCTTTCTCTTCTTTTGGGATATCCTCTATCTTCATATATTACCTTTTATTTACCTATTCGGTATTAGCCTTTTGATTCTTAATTGCAAATAAGGTCGAACAAATACATTCTTACCGCCTCCTCCCACATACTCTCCACCATGGGTGTTGAGAGTTCTGCCCATCATGGGGAGATGATCAGCCCAGCTGGCGCTCCCCAATATTCCAGCCAAGAGTCTGTGGCTGCTAACAAGCCTATGGAAATTGGTGTTGACACCCCAGTTCCCCGCCTCACCCTGCGGGCATTTGTTATGGGTGCTTTCGTTTCTATGGGTGGTCTTCTCTTCGGATATGATACCGGTCAGATCTCCGGTTTCCAGGAGATGCCCAACTATCTTGAACGCTATGGTCAACTGAACGACGAGGGTAAATATTACTTCAGCAATGTCCGCTCCGGTCTCATTGTCAGTCTGTTGTCTATCGGTACCTTGATTGGTTCTCTGGTTGCTGCTCCTATTGCCGATAAGCTTGGTCGTAAATGGTCTATCACCTTATGGTGTATCATCCTGAATATTGGACTGGTCGTTCAGATCTCTTCCCCTGCCGGTAAATGGGTTCAGATGGTCATGGGCCGTTGGGTGACTGGTCTTGGTGTCGGTGGTTGCTCCCTGCTTGTCCCTATGTACCAGGGTGAGAGTGCCCCTCGCCAGGTCCGTGGTGCCATGATCAGTTGCTACCAGCTGTTCGTCACTCTCGGTATCTTCCTTTCCTACTGCATTAACTTGGGAACCGAGCATCTCCAGGGCACTGAGCAATGGCGGATCACCTTGGGTCTTACCTTCCTCTTTGCTCTCGTTCTCGGTGGTGGTATGGCTTGCTTCCCTGAGAGCCCCCGTTTCGAGTACCGTCACGGTCGTGTCGACAGTGCTCGCAACACCATGTCCATGCTCTATGGTGTTCCCGAGAACCACCGCGTCATCCTCCAGGAGATCGAAGAGATCCAGCAACAGCTCGACGCCGAATCCCAGGAGCAGGTTTGGCACGAGTTCATCACCGCTCCTCGCATGTTGTACCGTATTGCCCTGGGTATGGTCTTGCAGTCCTTGCAGCAGCTGACTGGCGCCAACTACTTTTTCTATTATGTAAGCATCTCTTCCCGATTCAGCCTAGCGCTTCCAGAGGTCACGTGCTAACATCTAAACCTAACAGGGTACTACGATTTTCCAAGGTGCCGGTATCTCCAACAGCTTCATCACCCAAGTTATTCTTGGTGCGGTCAACTTCGGTACCACTTTTGGTGGTCTATACATCGTTGAGAACTTCGGTCGCCGCAAGTCTCTCATTGCCGGTGCTGCTTTCATGTTCGTTTGCTTCATGATCTTCGCTTCTATTGGTCACTTCATGTTGGACGTCGAGAACCCCGAAAACACCCCCGGACCTGGCAAGGGTATGGTTGTTGTTGCTTGCTTCTTCATCACGGCATACGCCATGACCTGGGGTCCCATGATCTGGGCTATCTGCGCCGAATTGTTCCCTTCCAAGTACCGTGCCAAGGGTATGGCTCTGGCCACCGCCTCGAACTGGTGCTGGAACTTCCTCATCGGTTTCTTCACCCCCTTCATCACCGGTGCAATTGACTTTGCATACGGATATGTCTTCGCTGGATGCTTGGCTGTCGCTGCCCTCGTCGTCTACTTCTTCGTTATCGAGGGTAAGGGCCGCACTCTCGAGGAGCTCGACTGGATGTACGTCAACAAGGTCACTCCCTGGAAGAGCAGCAACTTCGAGATGCCTTCTCTTCGCGACCAGCAGCATGGCGACCAGTACGGACGCAAGGAATCTCGCTCTTATCACGCCGAGAACGCATAAAAAAAACGGGGGTTTGGGTGGTCTTTCATTCGGAGTTGGTTATTTGCACTTTTCTTGTGAATACTCTTCTCGTATATATGGGATTATGGGTTACACGATATATATCCATTTGCTTTAACTTGTTATATATCCTCCAGGCCTTCTTATAAGGTCTTGTACAATTAAGAGAATCATTACTTTAATTTTCTTTTCAATTTCCTTTTCAACAATATCTTGCAGTAGCTTTCGCCACACAACCGGCTGATCGCCAGATAGAACTTTTAAGTCTCTAATCCTTTACTGCATTGCATTGTTTAAGATCTGATAACTTTTACTTGATAACCTTCCTTGCTGGCTTAAGCTTTCACGTATCTACCCCTGACTCGAATATTTCGCCGAGAGTAGTCGGCATTTCGCATGAAGTCTACAAGTCTCTGGGCCGCTGCCGCAACCTTCCTGACTAGATACAGGGCCTAATATTAATATAATTAAAACCTACTACAGTATAATGAAAACAACAGATCTAATTCTAATACAATCTCGGACTAGAACCTACACTGGGGGTCCAAAAGTATGTCATCTTGTGTACTTAAAAGTACCTACCACCTCATACCAGGCAGATAGCGCCGCTGGGTACCTTTAGGCATAGGAGGTCACATACTTTTGGACTCCCCACTGTAGGTTTCGTCTGGTGAGTTATGACAATTCCCTCCACGGTCAAGTCGTGCAAGACTACCTCACAATTCGTACGTCTGGCGAATAATTAGATTATTTGGATACTGGACCTCTAAATACAAAAGTATTGAAACATTTGAATAAAGCCCCCGGTAAACTGAATTATTGACCGAAACAGACAAAAATAAAGGAAAGTAAATCACGGCGAAGTTGTCGTTAGCATCTTGCGTTGTGCGGCGCTATCTAGGAGGATAATAAGGAAAAGATCGCAGTCCATGCTGCGATATCTAGTCTATGCTTCCTGTTACGCATTTCTCATGATGCATAGTGAGTCTATATACCGAATCAAGAGTGCGCATATGGCTAGGGATTCTCAACAATTTATGAGTGTCGAGACAGAGGAAGATTGCGGATGATTAGCATGATGCATTATCTTCGAGAATGATGAAAATTGAAAGCCTTGCTGGCATGACATGGCCTGCGGAGTTCAAAGTCGCAATTACAAGAATATAGCTAAGAAAGATTGAATCTGACATGGCAAGTATCGAAGCGTGTTGGCAAGCTGAATTGATACCTAAGCGATAACCACTAAGGAGCCAATAATGAGAGAAACGTCAATACTAGTAGAACTGACAGTGGAAGTAATTTCAACCCGAAAGATTGAAAGCAAACACTAACCCATGTAGCCCTCTCCCTTACTTGCCCATAAAGTACAGAAGTTTTTCAATCCGTTTAGTGCCCAAGGAATTATCCAATGGATCCCTTAAACTCGGTATCTCAATAGCCATCGGCCAGATCGAGAGCCTGTTGCTTCCACCTTCACACCATCTCATGACAAACATAGCTGCCGAGTGATTGGTACGGCGACACTTGAGTGGCATTGAAACGAACCCCTCGTGAATTTTAAAAGAACTCCGGAAGTGACACTGTACTTCTACCAAGTACTGCCGCAGATTCTCAAAGGCCTCGTTAATTGTCGTACCTCTCACCCTGAAATGGACCCTCCCATGCTTTTGGTCCGGATGCAGAGCCGGAAGCATCTGGGCACTTGAGGGGTCGCCGAGTTGCTTGACACAAAACGAAATCACAGACATGAGAGATACTCTCTTGTGTTTGCCACGCTGTTCCTCACGTGGAATATCAATTTCAATCCTAAAGTAGTTCCGAGCGAAGAGGTGTGGTCTGCCCTGTACGAGACAGTTGTGGAATTTCTCGCGCTTGAAAACCCTCAAGAACGCCATGGCTACACGAGGAGCTCGGCTTTCGTGTTATGCGTTTTTGAACAATTCAGATTGAGGTGGTTCAACCTGGTATCAATGATAGCGATGGCATATTGTGGAACTGTGGGAAATAGGGCTCATTTAACTACTGCGTCATGATGGCCTTTGTTCCCAACATTTTAGTAGAGCGGCACCGACTTGGTGTACCGCTGTTTGACTTCAACAAAGTCCGAAAGGTACACAATGGGGATAATGATGATGAAACCTTTGTTAATCTCTATCCTGAATGGAGAACGTTGTCTTACTGAAACCATGTCTTTTGTCATCATTTCGATACACAATTGCTTTGTCTGTTGCTCTCTGGGGCGTTTACCAGAATACAAGTATAGCCTGAATCTTCTAGACTCAACAGCACTAGCAACGTTGTGTGACCGAGTATCAGACTCTCGGGTAGCTCAAAGCAGCATGAAAACTGTTATGCGGCATGGTTACGAGGCTGGGCAATTACGTTAAGTACTCTTTAGGGGCTGGGCCATTTCGCTAAGCGTCATCACGATGACTCATTCGGGCAGGAACGTCCTGCGTCAGGCTGCCGATTACTTCGATAGCACGTATGTAGACGTACGAATGATATAACTATTGCATTTATACTGGGGCCTATCTTTCCTCGTCAGTCCACATTGCTTTCTCTTCCTGTACTTTACCAAGCAACTCCACATCACGTTAAACCATCCATTTCATAGCTATATAAGTATAGAGCTATACTCTAACCGAATCAACTACCTTTATCAAGCGTTTATCACATTTACTGTTACCGTTATATACACATACCCACGATGCCGGGCTTTGAGCATTCGCGGATGGGGACAAACACCTACCCCAACGGAAGGAACACAAAAGGAGGTCTCTCGCTCACAGCCCCACCGGTCAAGGGGGAATGGAATACGATGGATGGGGCGAGGCAGACTAACGAGAGCGTTGAGCTCTCTGGAAAGAAGGCCCACAGCCCACAAAAGGGTAAGTACCATACTATTACCCTTTACATACCGTATGTACAGGCTGACAACGAATGTAGGCCAATATAAAGGCCAACGGAGGAAAGGAAAGGGCAAATGGCAAAAGGTGCCTTTGTCCGAAGTAGCAAAGCCGGCGGCTCCAAATATCAACTGGTCGGTTATCCCAGAGCCAGCGCAGGCAAAGGTCCTCCAAGACTTGGAGGAATTGTGCCGTTCGACGAATCCACATGTTGCTCGAATGCGCCACCTGGATACCTCTAAGGGGCATGAAACCAGCCCAACTCGGCGATCGGTCGTTGCCATCGACTGTGAAATGGTCCAGGTGGGTCGGGGCCAGAATGAGGTAGTCCAGGTCTGCGCCGTGGATGTACTGTCCGGGGAGATACTGGTCGACAAGGCTGTCGTTCCGACAAAACCCGTCACAGATTGGTGTACACCATGGAGTGGAATGACAGCGGGCCGCTTGGAGGATATGAGAAGGAAAGGCAAGACGGTGAACGGCTGGGAGGAAGCTCGGGCGGAAGTCCTGAAGTTTGTCGATGGCGATACCATCTTGGTTGGCCATGCGCTTCGGAACGATGTGCGTGCTTTGGGGATGATGCATGCAAAGGCCCTCGATACCGCCACTGTTACGAAGCATGCGGTGAGCAAGGGAATGGTGGGATCTGGTTGCAAGCGCACTTGGAAGCTGAAGACGTTATGTCAAGATTTCCTGGGGATAAATATCCAACAGTCCAGGAATGGACACGACTGTGTCGAAGACACGCTTGCGACCAGAGAAGTGTTGCTCTGGTGTGTCCGCAATCCGGACAAGCTGAAGAACTGGGCAGCGAAGCAGTGTGCTGCGATACAAGCAGTAGTAAGCTCCTGCTCATCCGCCCAGGAGAGGGAGGAGAGTATACCGTTTGAAAATGTTGAAGATTGGTTGTAATGTTATATTGTTATGATATACCCAGTTTAAATGTTGCAACGTATGGTCGAGTAGGAACTTATCTCTCTACCCTTCTCATATATCCCGATATTATGAAATCATGAAAGTCATATGGCATTGCCTTTATAGTTTTGATATCCAAACGTCCTATACTTGTAAAGCTACATCTGCCAGTACTCCGGCTAGCACATCCACCTCTATAGCACTTGTATAAAAGGGTCCAGACCTAATATCAAGCTGCGGTGCGGCCTCTGGGGAGAAACATGGCTGATGGAAGAATGTAGAACTCTAGCGCACCATTCTAAGGATCTGTACATGCAGTCATCTGATTCTCCACTTCGCCTTATATTTACTAGTATTGACATATACACTCTCGTTTGAAGTGTATTAACTCTTGAGACAATTCATATATCTATATGCATTGTGCCGAATCACTCCCACTGCCTCATGAGAGTGTTGGCCTCGATCTCCTGGTCAAAGTTCACAAGATGGGTGGAATGGCACCAGGGCTTGATCTTCTCCTCCTTGCGAATGACGCTAGAGAAGAATGCGCACCACTTGATGCGCGGATACGCCTCGTTGATCTGAGTGCGAGTGATCTCGTGAATCAGTTCACCGAAATTCTTGACGTGCGGATGGAAACCGGTATTGTCGTATGTCGTGGCCAGCTGGATGAGTTGACCAATGTAGGTGATCGTCCCATCGACTCCCATATCTTCGTGTCGGATGATTGCCTCAGCAGCTGCCTCGGCCTGATCCGTCGTCGCACCGAAATCTTTGAGGATGTAGAGGGCTTTGATGCCCCCATAGATATCGAAGGACATGCGGGTTGCGGTCAGGTTTTCCTCAGCCGTACCGAGATCATGCAGTAGGCATGTCAGAGCCCAAGTCACGGGGTTAAGAGCAGCGGCTTGCTCGGGGAACTGCTGTTTGGTAATGGCCATTCCTAAGCTGGGGTTAGATATGAAGCTCGGCACTACTAGAACTATGAGCAATTTGCAAGCATACCATAGAAGTAAACCCTCATCGAATGGTTGAAGGTTTCGGGATGCAGGGTTTCCTTTGCATATTTCAGAGTCTTTGCGACTGTGGGATCATCAAATGGGAATTGGATGTCACTGAGAGATAGAGGCTCCGGCTTATTGATAAAAGGCTGGTCACCGAAGATGGCGCCCGCATTAGCCGGCGTGCTAGTCCAGCCGTTTGCTGCGGTTTCCTGGTGGCACATGGTGTAGTAGAAAGAGTTGGAACAATGCCACAGGTGGATAGTAGAAGTAGAGTATTTAGTGGAAGTAGGTGGCAGTTGATAGTAACTGAGAGTCCGTTTAATGATGCCAGAAAGCAGTGAACAGGTGCGGGATGAAGCCTTCAAATACTAGTTCTCTAACATCACTCACCCCACCCTATTATTAATGCAAGTGGAGGGAATGCAATCAACGTTCGGTCCGACGACAGAGACTTGAAGCTCTTCCGATCTAATGGGTGATGATTAACAGGCAGATCGATGCCTTGATAGTCGAGATTTGTAGGGTTGCTGAAGCAGACGAGGCGTGACCATACCCGATTAGGAAGTTATGACATGTGGGGCTTCAGTGGCAACTTTCACGTTGGTTCTCCAAACCTTCCAAGGCTCGGAAAAATATGGGGAGGATATCGTGATTGATAAGTTCTAGTCGCCGAGATAGGAAGTTATAGCTTGTGGCGCTCGACCTTCTGAACTTTGCGGTGTGATGTTGAGATAGATGATCATATAACAATGTGACTCGAGCCGAAATCTTCGATATCTTCCAGTTCTAGTAGATATGCCACTAAGTTGAACATGAAAACATTCTCTTAACAAGGCTCAGTGCGACAATAATTTTCATTGGCATTATCCCTACGAGAACCTTAGCTCCTAATGGCGCCCAGTCATCTGGCCAACCCAGTAAGTACCCGGCCGATATTTTCACCTGGCATACTTGGGCCAGATATACTGACACTCGCTGCAAGAGTCCACTAGGATTTGGTGCCTTTGCAACCACCCTGATGACCCTTTCGCTTTCCATGATGGGCTTCCGTGGCGTTTCAAATCAGACTGTATTCATTGCTAACCTTTGCTTCCTCGCGGGGTTGGGCCTCCTCATATCTGCGCAATGGGAGATGGTGAAGGGCAACACTTTTGCGTATACAGTACTCGCTGCATTTGGTAAGCTACATATTCACGAAGCATGCGACATGGCAGTTACTGACGCGCTGGAGGATTTTATTACGGCGGCTACGGCGTATTGCTGATGCCCTCGATGGGTGTTATAGAGGCCTACGGCAGTGAAACAGCCGAATATCATAGCGCATTTGCATTCTACCAGCTAAGTTAGCTATTCGCATAGTATAGCACACAGACTGTAGCTGATCCATAGAGTGAAGTTTGGTGTTTTCTGAATTTCTTTTTCCTACTTGCCGCTTTACCAACGTAAGTATCGTGATCCAAGCCGAATTGTGAACGATGCTGACATTTCCGAAGACATGTTCCGAATATTGTTGTTTATGCCGCCTTGGAGCTATGCTACATCTTCAATTGTACCGCACACTTTATGCGGGCAGACGGCAGATTGGCGTTAGCTGAGGCTTTCACAAAGGTGGCTGGTGCCTTTGGCTTCCTATCGGCCCTGGCTGGGTTTTACCTGCTGGCACATGGATTATGTCAGGATACATTTCCATTTAGAATCCCCTTATGTGAAACCGGTGGGCTTTTTCGGCGTCCACCTTCTATTCGTGAGAAGATGGATGAAATTGGTGCTGTTTGAAGAGATGTATCATGGGGGGGCATCATAAATCAAGTACTTGAATACTATGACACATTGAATAAAAGGATATACCCATCCGCGCATGCAGGATTAATCTCAAGCAAAGAAAAGAAATGTCTTTGATTGATCTCAGATGAACCTATCTTCAGAACATTTCGGTGTGTTGCTCTTCACTAGATGCCCACAACATGATTATTATTAGCATTCAGTACCCGCCTTTGGAGAACTTTCATTAACATCGAGGGCAAATTGTTCTCAAATTAGTAACCAGCCTTGTTCTAGTACATGCAGTTCAGAATCCTCTGATGCCGAGTTGTCAATGAAGCGTCTTCGTTCCCAATATTCATGTAGGACCTTTGAAGCATTTATCACATTTAAACAGCTGGTCAGATTCCAAAGCATCTTCAGGGATTTAGTTACCAGTTGCTGCTCAGCGTAAGTCTGACATTCTAGACCGACAATGAAGACCGGCCAAAGTAAGCACTTGAATAAAGCCGGGTCGCTATTGAGAGAGTCGATCACGTCAAGTAATCGTGATGCCAGCTCGTCATGGGCCAATGTTATGGTCTCAGTTGATGCCCTGAAGGCACGGAGAACTCGGCTTCCATAGAGCAAGGTGGCACCTTTGTACGCTTGAGATAGCAAAGAAAGCTTCTGGACCTCTGCTGCTGAGGGGGATCTCAATTGCACAGAGTCTGATGCCCATTTCAAACAATCGAAGTTTGCTGTCAGCTCGAGCATGGTCCGAGTATCTTGTACATACTCTTGAATTGAGATATCATCATGCACGTTTAAGGTCTGAATGGCGTGTCTTTGATTCGAGAAGTAGTGGATGGCTCCCAGAAGGAACCCAGGACATCCCAAAAAGCTTCTAACAATGGACTCTTGATGCCTGCTTTCCTCATGATTGATACTTAACTCAGGCATCAACTTTGAACCTGAGAGTGCACCTCCAATGGTTGAGATACTACTATTGTCAGTGACAAATCACAGTATATACAGACGAGTAGAGAGGAAGAGGAAGAGGAAGCATACAGTGAAAACTGTCGGGCGACAAATCGCCTGGTCTCCTTTACTGTCTCCCCAGGGTCGGCATTAATATGGCCACTGACATCCCGCTCCAGCAACGAGTGAGAAAGATTGACGAGGCCTTGTGCACCATGGAGATGATATTTCCAACCATCGATGCCAGACTCGAGGAGATCTAGAAAAATTAAAAGGAGGATTGTTGCCATTGTTGAGTCCTTGCCAGAGGGTTCGAGATGGGACAACGATGAAGACAATGCCTGGATTGCTTGCTTTTTGAAATGGAGTGCATCCAAATTCGCAGTCACGAATCGAGGGGATAAAGCGTCATCGACCTGATCGAATGACAGGTTTGTATTAGCGAAGTGCCGTGCAGCAACAGCAACTATACACGTTCGCAAGGTTGAATCATGCATAGCGAAAGTAAGCAAACTCCTGAACGGATTGCTCTCGCTGTCATATAGAATGTACAACTTGGCGATACGTATGTTATCTTTTGGTTGACATTAGCGCGTCTATGGGAACATCAGCCTTTCTAGTAACCCACAATAATCAAGATAGAACCTCGATTACCAATCGAGATCGTGTATGTAAGGGTCTTCCAAGGCGAACCGGGGAGCAGTATTGGTTGTCGAAGCCTTTGCGCGGGCGTGTAGAACTGGTCTCCGCTTTGATTGCGCAGACAAACTTTCATCGGCACCTTTAGGACCCCCTTCCAGAACACGTCCGCGCATCTTCCCCCGAATTGCCACGCCTTTGACCCATCGTAAGGGTCTCGTTTCAAAACATTCCAGCCCAGCTTTCTGACATTTGGCGCAAGGAGTACCTGTTTGGTCACATTGGATGGTGCGGCTGCGGCATGTCCAGCATGCTGCACCCATTCTGTGAGACGGCCGACCGGGCAAATAGAGCACAACAACGGTCTTCAGTTATGATGTTGGTCATGATGAAAGTTTGAAGACAGTTTCGCCTACTTCCGTATGCCCGGCCGGAATTATAATGGTCCGTGCACCTACGTACCAAACCCTTCTTTGAAGACGCCTCTAGAAGTTGCATATACAAAAGTCTTGAGTCCGAACCATCCTAGCTATTACGATATATATAGAAAGAGTATAGTGATCTCCTATACTTCCTACAGATCACTAACCCTCTACCTGCCTTAGCCCACCAGTGCCACCGTTGCAGGCAATCACACCTCATATGTACTGGACCGATATTTAGAACACCAGCATTTACCCCATGTATCAGTGCATGCTAGCTATTAGTATGAAACAATTCTTCTGTGAGAAGAGCAGGGCCCTTTTTTCGTTCTTTCTTTTGCATGTACTATGATTTGAAGGGGGTTTTCCTTTTGGCAAACGCTATGGTGGTAGCATATAGTCGTGCACAAGTACGATGTTACTACCGGAGTTTGAAGGATTTAATCATGCAAGGAACAAAACCCGCCACAGATGGCCAGACGAGCCCTAAATAGGATTTTTGATACCACGCTCGATTCTTGATTTGAGCCGAAAGTAAACGAATTTTCCGACGCGGGACTACACTGCCTCCGCTTTCACTACGATGGGCCTGATTACAAATTCAGAAGGATTTTAGTAACTAACTAACTAACCTGACTCTCAGCGGATAAGTCAGTGTAGGTTGGGGTGGAGCTAATGAATGGATGGGCATTAAAACGACGGAGACGGAGTAAGTGAGGCTAAGTCGCTAGGCAACTAAGCATAAGGGTTGTAATTGCGATCAGCACTACACAATTCCGTGCTAGTAAAGGGCAACGAATGGATGGTCCCGTACCGCAGTCTTGCTACTGGGTCAGTCGGCTGGGCTTTTCAAAACGGATCGTTAGGGGTATGCGCCCTACGGACAGACTAGAATAGTAAAAGTGGACCCGTAAGGTCGATTAATATATCTTGCTTGTGGGCGGATAGAGAATAGAGAAAACATAATTTGTTCAAGACCTGTCTTGTAAAGGAAAGAGATTTCACCATATATGAAAGGGTTCAGAGAACAGCAGGGTGAGGATATCATCATCGTAAACAGTGAGGGATAAGGCAGATTCAGGGCAAACACTTACCGTCATGTCCATCATGGTCAATGTACAGACCAGGTGAGGGAACAGACGGGGATGACTGGACCATCTGAGCCTCAATTTGAACGGCTCTATTTCATGGAGTCAAGAGTCTTATTAGCATGGTTTGGGGGTGGTAGGGTCTATGCCGCAAGATGGAGACCGCCCGGTAGCCCCAATAAAAAGATCTCTGCGAAAGCCATTGCTTAGGAGGCCGAAAGTTGTTGTTGAGAGTCCACAAAGCTTTTGGTCGCAGTTTAGGAAATGTGTAAAAACTTCGTCTAGCTTCTCGCGCTCAAGCTATTGAAATATGTGTTGAGACTAGGGCCGGCCTTATCCTTGTTTTTTAATGTTTTCAGTGTTTTCAACCTGCATGGACCACGACCTTTTATTAAACTCCTATTGGCTACTGGTTTGAGTGTGGATGGCATTGGAGGGTGCAAAGGTGAAATATTTACATATATTTACTGTCTGTTGCTATGATCTTTAAGGAAGCAGAAACTGACAAGGAGAAGGTGGTGAAATCCTTGTACCCTTCCATCATACAAGGTGACGGTTCAATCAATCCTTACAAGGCAGATCGGATATATCATGCAGGACCGGTTGAACACTCATCCAATTGCACACAATCACCAGGATTGCTAAGAAGAAGTCTCATACCAAACACACTGTGCATACTACGAATATCGGTCTTAATTGTTGGCTAAGCACTTTCGTGGAAAGGATCAGGATCTCCCGGAGTTGGGCGTTGGCGCTATTGTAAGCTACCCAGTAAGTTAGTGGGAACAACTCGCGCTTTTCTATAAAAAGGGATCCAATTATTTGGCGAGGCTTTTCATCACAGTGGAGAACTGGATGGACAGGAATAGAGAAAGCGGTGACTAACCTAGCCCTATCCCAGCCGGCCCCCATGTTACTAACTTAGCTATGGCCTTAGCTTTTACACCATTTGCGGCGCTTATTCGGCGGTGCTGTTGAAGGCGCTTAGGCCCCGAGGCCAGTAGGTCCAATCATGGAAGATAATTGACGAACTTCATCTCCCTTGCGACGATCCAACAGATACCGAGCCCGGCGCTACGCAACCACGACCAATGATCAACGCTCTGTACTCTAGTTTTCTGTGATTGGTCGTGGCGTCGACGACGTGCGAAAGAGCATTAACCCAGCTGTACCATGTGGGTACAGCCGGGGGATGGGATGGAGGGCCGTGGCGATGCAGTCTACTGCGTACTGATCATCTCCACATGGCCCCCATACCCCCTGTCAACAAATGGCACAGCCTGGGGTGGAAATGATAGTCTGTACTAGAAGAGGTCGGGAAAGCGACCGACCCACAGGCGTGAATTGACTTGGACAGTGCTCCAAATGGAGCCTCATCAATACCATAGCCACAGCTGGGCCCCCGAGCCATATAAGAAACGGCTGTACCTCTATGATGTGCAACGGCTCATTTCAGCATAGAATAGCAGAGCCAAATCAGACTTTTGTTGACGATGTTTTCAAAATCACCCCTTATCCTCGCCCTGACAGGGGCATTGTCCGCTGTTGCTGCCCCTAGTGCAGTGGTCCGGTCGGAGGACCCATGTGCGAAACTAAGCAGTTTATATCAGCAAGCCGTGAATGCAAATGGTAAGGATACTATGCCAGTTGCGAACATGACCCCCATTCTAACAACACCCAGTGACTGAGCCTATTATGGTTGACGGAGGGCTCGCTCATGAGTGTCTGCACTCCATGCCATTTGATGCGCAAAAGGGAGTGAAATTTGTCTCGGAATTAAGCAAATACATCCAGTTTCAGTCAACGATAGAGCTCCTAGAAAGTAGGTAGCAACCGGTTGTCAACGTCAAGGGGTCGAGGTGTCTAACAATTTACTACTTTAGACCCCCCAGCCGGATATCTGTCCGCCCCAACAGACCTCATTGGGGGTATGGATGATGTACTTGCTAAAGCTAAAAACAACCAATTCTCTAGCCACTACGACTTTGAAAATGCTATTCTGCGGGTTCTTCATTCTGCAAATGATGGTCATTTGGGTGGCACCTTGTGCTCAAACACAATCTTCTACTTTAGGAACCGTGTGTCTCTGATATCAGTTTCGTCGGATGGAGTAGAGCTTCCTCAGCTCTATACATTAGGTATGTAATACGGACTATTCCCTCCAGGAAGCTAGCTGACCACCACGCATTAGAGGATGCACAGGCTCTTCAAAGAGATCCCAAGATTGTCTCTCCCGTTGTCAGCATCAATGGCTACGATGCTGTGTCGTACCTGAATCAGTACGCGGAGTCAGATCATTTCCAAGACCCAGATGCGAGATATAACCACCTCTTTCCCTCAAGCGCCCGTTATGTTGCCCAGCAAGGGCAGGAAGGAACTTGGACGTTTAACAGTGGGCTATGGCCTGGCTATGCATCCCAAACCCTATCATTCGCCAACGGAACATCACGAGACGTGCCAACACTCGCTCAGATTGCACTGAAAGACTTTGAGTACCGCAATGGCAGCGCTCTCTGGGAAGACGTATGCTTAGCGCCAACCGAATCAACATCCGATGACACCGAAGATAGTCTATCAAAGAGGTCCGGGACTACTGGGAAGAAGGCACCGACCATGTATCCAAAGCCTGTCATGCGTGATGCATATAACACGATCTCGGGATACTATCTCGAAGATGACCTCAAGGATGTCGCCGCTCTTTTCGTGCCCAGTTTTGAAACTAACAAATATGAGGGAGACCCATTAGCATTTGCAAACCACGCCACGGACTTTGTGAAGAAGGCAGTTGATGCTGGGAAGAAAAAGCTGATCATTGACGTTTCGGGGAACCCTGGTGGTAACACAGCTTCTGGATATGACCTATTTCGAGTTTTCTTTCCCGAGGCAGAGATGTACACAGCGTCTCGTATCCGCGCTCATGAGTCAGTCGATCTCATTGGACAAGCACTGTCTTCATTAACCAAAGATACCGACGACTATGTAGCGGAGGGCATCGCTCTGTACGATCTTGTTTCCCCGAATCAAACGTACCATTTCCAGTCATGGGAAGAATATTACGGACCCCAGCAGGTGAATGGAGCCAACCTCAGTCACATTGCCGGGAACTTCGACTTTGATGTGATATCTAGCTGGGAAACTCCTATCCGTGGACATGGTCCTTTCAAACTAAACGACACGATCACCCATTTCGCACCAGAGGATATCCTTATTGTATGTTATCCAGTTTCTATGCAGAGATGTATTGGGCTAACCCTTGAGTAGGTGACGGATGGATATTGCACCTCAACCTGTACCATTTTTACGGAATTGATGACTCACGTGGGTGGTGTCAAGACTCTGGCCTTTGGTGGCCGGCCACAAAACGGCCGTATGCAGGCAATGGGAGGATCTAAGGGTAGCCAGGTCGCCTCATCAGTTTTGATTGATGCGTGGGTTGAGGGGGCTAAGTTCCTTGCTGAGAAGTCCGCGCAGGATGAAAAGCCCTTGCTCAGTCTGGAGCAACGCAAGGCCCTGAATGCCTCTGCTCCAGCAGTAGAGGAACTTCCTTTCAACCTGCCTGCCCTGAGTGTCAACTGGAAGAACTCATATCTCCGCGATAACCACGAGATTCCAGTCCAATTCCTCTACGAGCCAGCCGACTGCCGCCTGTTCTACACCTGGGACAACTACAAGAACCCTGCGACTACCTGGACCGCTGCCGCTCGCGCCTGGTGGGGCAATGGTACTTGTGTGCCAGGTTCCTCTGCCCACAACTGATTGTTTTTCCCGAGTATTCTTGCCCTTTGCTTGTATTAATAGTCTCACATTTGTATATCTTTCTTCTTCGAGACCAACGTTATGGAACGACCAGCCGAGCGAAACAATAATAGAGTCTTTTGGAATTTAGAAATAACTAGATGAATTCAATACCTTGGCTTAATGGAAGCTTCGAATTGGCTTGCAAGACCTCTCATATAGGAAAGAGTTTCTCAATTACAGTTCTACCAAAGGCAAACCACCCCCAACTTGAGACAGTCTGTTGCATTTTGGTATGCTTCCACTGGGACCTCCCCAATTCGCAGCAGATCAACCTATATCAAACTTTCGACCTGTTGAAACTTCTGGTTGCACACAATGTCTTATTGGGCCATGACTAGCCTCGAAGGAAGTCATCCTGACATGTCCAGTACCAGAACATGAGCGATTGACATGAGCATAAACTCGATGCATAAATACGGGTACCCGGTGCAATCTATATTGCTATATGTTGCCGCAACGCCGGGGAGAAGAAAGCCTATCCACACAGGTTACGAATGCCAGGGGGAGGAGCATTCTTCAGTCTAACGAATCCGCGTGCCCTATCGACAAAATTCACATTACACCATGTCTCCATGCATTTAATAAAATGACAAGCGACCACTTGCGACCGTCGACCTTATCATCATGCGTGTGGGCTATTCCTTCTGTTATACTATTTGCCGGTGATTGGCCATGATCACGCAATTCCGAGAGATCTGACGCTTGCTGCGATATTATCTTCTTCCCCGCATGGTCTGACAGTCATGGATTATAAATCAGATCAAGGTACGAAAGCTTAATGTTATACTCTTTTCACGAAAACTCCCCTAGAAATCAAGGAGAAAGGCAGAATGCTGGGAGGTGAGCCGTAGTGATTCAGTGCAACGTTTACCCACAACACCCACACGTTACATAGATAGGAGGTATACAAGCGACAGGAAATACCACAGGTTTAATAAGCGAGCGTCAGAGTAAGGCGTCATTTTAATGCGGGTCTCGTCATATATCTCTGGAGCCAATCACCACCAAAAGGGACCAGGAAGATATCCATGATAGACGAATATAAAGAATGCAGTAACCCCTCATCCTAACTCCGAGTAAGACATTCAGAGATCGGGAAAGAAAGAGACCAACGTCTGTCACAATGCCTGTTGAATTTATTAGTCTGACGTTTCCGAACGCCTCCACTGAGATCAAGCCAATTCCCAATGCCACGATCGACCCAGAATATCTGGAGCGCTACGCGCGAAACCTAGATGACTATGGATTCAACTACACATTGGTGCCTTACGATTCATCCTACTTCGACCCGTGGACGATAGGCGCCACCATTGCTTCCAAGACAAAGAATATCAAGATTATCATTGCTCTCCGGCCAAACACATTGTATCCCACGGTGGCAGCCAAGGCCCTCGCGACACTGGACCAACTCAGTTCCGGCCGTGTGGTCGTCCACTTCATTGCCGGAGGCAGCGATGCTGAACAAGCAAAGGAAGGCGACTTCCTGACCAAGGAGCAACGTTATGCCCGCCTGGAGGAATATATCCGAATTCTCCGCCGGGCGTGGGAATCGCCAGATCCATTTGACTGGGATGGAGAATACTACAAATTCAAGCAGTTTTCTAACAAAGTCCGTCCTACAAAGGAGACTATTCCTGTCTCCGTCGGCGGATCTTCCGACGACGCATATCGGATCGGAGGTGCACTAGCCGATATCTTTGGCCTTTGGGGGGAACCCTTGAAAGAAACCAAGGAGCAGATTGAGAAAATCTATGCCGCAGCCGAAAAGGCTGGTCGGTCCGATCGGCCGCGTATCTGGGTGACCTTCCGACCGATCGTCGCGGAGACCGAAGAACTGGCCTGGGCGAAGGCGCACCGCACCCTGGATGCGCTTCAGGCAAACCGACCGGGTGGCCAGGGGAACGCGCCTGCTCAGCCACAGAACGTTGGGTCCCAGCGGCTGCTGGATATCGCAGCTCGTGGGGAGGTGCAGGATCGCGCGCTGTGGTATCCGACCGTTGTAGCCACGAACGCCCGCGGTGCGTCCACTGCGCTGGTTGGATCTCACCAGACGATTGTGGACTCGATCTTGGACTATGTTGACTTGGGTGCGGAGCTGATTTCTATCCGTGGGTATGATAACCTCAACGACGCGATCGACTATGGGCGGTATATTCTGCCACCAGTCCGTCAAGCGCTGGAGGAGCGTGGAGCCAAATCTGCGGCTTAGTTGTGGAATAGAGAATGTCGTAGCAGCGAGTGACATAGCCCGGGCTCTTATATTGGAAGTGCCTCAACTATACTCTGCTGCGTGGCCAAGTTTTCTAGTTGATGTAATCTTTACCTCGTGGAACAGGGGATTCGACTCGAAGAAAGGCTCGTGCAATTGATACCTGATAGAAAGTATATGAACCCGATATTGGCCAAGGTGTAACAGTCCAGCAATTGCCCTTGAAATAAAATTATTCTTAGAAATCCTTGGTAAAGAAAACACAATAGTTCTAGTGCAGAACCTCCCGCATGATCTATTGCACTATCCCGGGAATAAGGCCAAGGATTATGCGATAGTTAAACGACAGAACCAGAATCCATTCAACGGTCAAGTTACAACTATGATCAGATACCGTGCGCAGTTTCGACGGTGACAAAAGACTGGTGGCTACCTCAGGGATACAGCGAGGATCAGTGAAACAAGACGCCCTGCAACGGGCCAGGCACTGTTGCCCGACCCAACCGCAAAATGTGAGAACAAACTGAGACTGCCCCTTTCATTGGATCCCATAATAGGTCGCTCTTCCGGAAAGGCTGTACACACTGCTGCTAGAATTCAACCATGACGAACGTTTTCATTAGGTCAGTGGTGAGCACACACGCAATATGGTTGTTTCCGTGCCTCTTGCCTGGGACATATGTGGTTCCTCTGAGTTTGTGTCGCAGCTAGGCAACGTGAGCTCTCGATATGTCCAGTGATGATCGGATATCAGAGCAATAGGGAGAGCAAGAGGGGGAAAATTCAGCAGGCCTTAACTGATGTTAACATCCTCTGTGATGAATTAAGTCAAGAAGAGAACCCAGCACAACTGCCGACCCAAAACGGGTAAAGCTAGGTTACAGTAACATGTGTTAAGCGAGATATCGACTACGTTCACCATCCGACCAGGATTCTGGAATATACTGAAGGTACATTATGTGAATGCTTCACGGTCTGCTATATTCGAGGTCCCTCATGTCGAGGCCACATGTAGGTATGTTATTAGATAAATATCCAAGAGATGCTCCAGATCGCTCTCTCTTCGGTATAGCATTGACATCACGTTTCACCCATTTCCAGAAATATCGGGCCCTTCAGCGGCATGATGCAGTGTACTTGGAATGAATGGTGCTATGTATGTTTCAGTACACTCTTCTTTAGCCCAAGGTTTAACAATATGCCACATGCTTCGATGCTCTAACTTTCAGCAGTTAATTAGTAGAGCTTCGCAAGAAGAGATGCGTTTTCCTTACAATGGCCTATTTCAAATCTTGCTTTTGCTCAAAGTCCAATACAGTGAAGCTCTTCACCCGACTCTCGAGCTTCACGGTACCCACGTCGTGAACAGAGAACGCCAGGTCCTCGCATTCATCATCCGAGAAGAAGAAAACTTTCTGGCCTGGAAGGAGCTCGTTAATGGTGACATGGAATCCTTTGGGCAAGAAAGCCTTTGCGCAGACATCGGTCTCGGAGCTCTTCCAGTAGCCGGTGGTCAGCTCCCACGCGGAGGCGGCGAGGGGGAGGAGGGCAAGGGCTGCGGTAAACTTCATATTGTATTGATGCTTTGTGAATGAGGTTGAAGAAAGATTCACTTGTAAAGTTCAAGCATTTATTAAAGGTTATCAACGGGTTTGGCGAGTACTGTCCGGTATATAACGACGTAGTATACCATGGAGAACGGCGACAGTTTCAAGAGGTATTTCCGCAACCAGGCCTTCGCTACTGTGCTCCACGACGCAGATTGCCAATTCTGCTTACTACCCATTGATTGGATGTGGTGAGGAAGTCAGTATGCAAGGGGTGAAGTTACATTCTTCGCTGTTTTCGGCCGGGACGAACCCAAACTTGTTCGCAACCCCGCGAAAATTGATTTGTGACAGAACCTTACTAAACGTCATGTCAGGTTCAGACAGCTGGTTACCAGTGGTGTGTGTTCACCCTATTTCCTCAGCCCCCGGTGGCATATATAACCTATGTAGCAGAACCCCGATCGATTACAGAGCAGCTCTGTTGAGTAGTCCATGTGCACAGAATACGTAGGTTATCCAGGTAAGCGACAGAATTCTGGTGAGAAACACGGATCCAGATTATGGCTTTTCACCGCTAGTCTTTTATCCCACAGTGTCAATGACGGAGAATGTTGTACCCCCTGGTGCATCATGGCGGCAGATTGCCCCTCGAGATAATGCAACCCAGAAACCGCACCTTTAGTGAACTATATTTTAACCAAAGCTTTCACACCTAATAGCAAGGATCCACTTGAACAGACTGTCCGGGGAAGGCTGCAAGGAATGAGATGCTTTGAGACTTGGCTGTCCTGCATCCGTCGTGCTCCTCAGTCAGCCACAACATTTTGCATTTGGTCACATAAAACGGGCAAAGGCAAGAGAGGTTCTTGTTACCTGTGGAAACGCCCACTAACTAGCCTGAAATATGATTAGTGTACGGCAAAAAGGTAGCATTACTGTCTTTAGCACGTCGGGGCTTGGTATGCCCCAGCATAGCTAATGAAGCAATAGCTGTATTGACTGAAGGTTTCACCCACTACGCCGTAAAATGAACGTAAAAGTGGTATATCAGCATATGCAATAATATTCATAATTAAATAAAAACAACCGTAGATATTTACGGCCCCGACTCAGCAATACAGTGTTACTCCTTCCACTCGTCTCTGCCTAACCTTACAATATCAGCCTGCTCAAGAACCCAATATTTTGATGGTGCCTTCCCCGCTTCTGCCATGCGAGCAGCTGCGACAGCTGCTCTGCCAATAACGGTTTGATCCTGACCTGTACCTTGAAATCAATACACAGTATCCCTGAGATTTCAAATGCTCACCAGGGTGGCCGTACCTATCATGTCCTGGACGCCCTGTCCGAGCTTATTGAGGTTCTGCACGATGTTCTCCAATAATGCAGCCTTGGGCTTTTCCCTTTGAAGGATGAGGCCAGGCCTCAGGATAATGCTATGGTCAAAATCAAGTTGCTCGATGGCATCCTCCACCCCGACCTTCATCTTCGAGTACGGCACATAGCCCGAGAAGAGGCCTCTGGTCCCTCCACTAGAGATGAACACGTACGTCTTTACTCCTGCCTCCTTGGCTGATCTGGCGTTCTCTATGCATAAGTCGTGGTCGATCTTCCACTGGTTCTCGATTCCGCCAGCTGCAGCTCTCGTGGTGCCGACTGCATTGAACACGACTGATGGCTTAGGGGAAAGAGAGGCGATCATGCCGCCCCATTTTGAGCTGTCGCTTTCTTCGAGGCTCTGCAGCTTGGGAGATTGCGCATTTGGCAGTCGCCTTGAAATGGTTTTGACGGATGAGAATGCGTTTGAGGCAAGCAGTGTCGCGAGGATCTGGCCGCCCACTGCTCCGGTACAGCCAAATACTGCTGCGGTCGTCATGGTAGAATACTTTTATCTGTAGCAGCTGTCTGTTTGAAACACGAAGTCTATTGCAAGACGTGAAGTATGATGGTTCTACTTTCATATTAAATAGGCAGGGGAACAATTAGGTAGCAAGGGAGACGTCACCAATGCCAAGCTGTCGTATGCGAATTGGCTTACGTGATGCGTTGGAATATGCCGAGGCAAAAATACCTCGATAAGGACTCTGGGTCGCTGTCTATGAAATGGAAAACCCCCAGGGTCCATCTCAGGAGAAAGAGAAATGTGTGTCCTTACATACAGATGACAGTTACTACAAACACGTATGATCAAGAACCGTATTCAACTCGGGAGTTCTCGAACACTCTGTCGGCTTACCCGCGAACGCCCACTTGGTCCTCTAAATATCTCGTGGGGAAGGGGCTTCAGGTAATTCCAGGGATAACGGCTCTTCCAGACTACATTTCAGTGTCGGTAACACTAGTTTCGGAAATTGTGTTGGAGTGAGGTGAAGGAAGACGTTCAAGCTTAAGTCACGCTTGCGATAGAGTCAACAAAAGTCCTCTCTCTGTGAGCAGGGGTTCAAACACGTCTCGATCTTCTCTCGGCGTTGGTCGTGCTAACCGCGAGTCAGTATCAGTAGTGGAGACTGTGGCGCTGCCTAGCTTAGATCCACCACTCCAGGTCTACCCCGTAAACATGTCCGCCCTCGGTGTTAACCTACGGGGATAGGGAGTCCTCTATGGCTCGACCGGCGTTAACAGTGAGTCCGTGTCACATCCGACTAGAGTACAGTCATATGGGTGCAGGAATCGTCTTCTCTTGAAGGCCCCTAGATCAGCTCAACCACAGCACAGATAAGAAGTTTGCATTTTCTGGCTCTCCAACCTTGGCCTACTTTTTCCCTCTGTATCTTCCTACACGGGACTCCATCACGTCACACACCCAGCGCTGAAATGGCCCGTCACGTCCTTCTTACCGGAGCCAATGGCTTCATCGGATCGCACATCCTAGCCCGGCTTCTTGACTACGGCTGTACCGTCTGCTGTGCTGTTAGAACACAGGAAAAAGGGGACCAGATCTTGAGGAACTTCGCCGCCCAGCAAGCTCAGATAACTATCACAATCGTCTCCGACATCGTTGCACCGGGAGCATACGACACGGCGGTACAGGGAAACCCTGCCTTTGACGCCGTCTATCATACTGCATCTCCATTCTCGTACGCGAATATGGGAAGCAATCTCCAGTTTCTCGAGCCGGCGATCAAGGGAACATTGAATCTACTCAATGCTGTGAAAGACAATGCCCCGGATGTAAAGAGAGTCATTTGGACCGGCAGCTGCGCCAGTGTGATTGACTACGACAATCTTGTCTCGGACCCACCAAAGGTTTATACGGAAGCAGATTGGAACCCGGTTACATGGGAAGAGGCCGTGAACGGGGATCCATCGAAAGCATACAGAGGTAGTAAGCTCTTTGCAGAACAAGAAGGTATATTACCTACCCTGATTGCTGTTGGCAGAATGCGGTACTAAGACGGTGTTATCTACACAGCTTGGAAGTTTATGAACGAAGAGCAGCCGCACTTTGACTTGGTGACGCTATCTCCGCCGGCAACCTTTGGCCCTCTGCGACACTCTATCACAAGGATAGGAGAGCTGAACGAATCCAATTCTCGGTTGTGGAAACTTTGCTTCAGCTCGACAAAAGATGCGCCCGTGCCCTATATGCCTGTACACACCTACGTTGACGTCCGAGTAAGTCATCCCAGATGGACACTTAATTGGATCAAACTAACATTCTGTAGGATCTTGCAGATGCGCAATTCCGAGCTATGATGGTCCCAGGGGCCGGTAACCAACGGTTTGTAGTGTGCGCCAGGCAATTCGACTTCCAGGATGTTTGCGATATTCTCCGATCACACCATCCTGAACTGGGCGAGCGAACACCGGTTGGCAAACCAGGCACACGCTCTTTACCTCTAGGTGCGTATTCCATTGATAATTCCAAAGTGAAAAAGTTTTTAGGGGTGGAGTTCCGAAGTCTCGAAGAGACAGTTCTGGATGCTGCACGTTGCATGTTAGATATTGAGCGGAACGAGAAGCAAGCTCATTTCAACTAAGATAGGAGTATTTTTGAATTAGCACGAATCAATGATACTAAAACAAGGACAATCACTCTCATATTTCCCTCATCTATGCTTTGAGAATGTGGGCAGCTCCATCAGTGCAAATTCTACGGTAAAACCACCATATAACCAAGATTGAACAAACTATCGGAATTGCGTATAGTGAGAGGTTGCTTATACTGAGGTTTCTATACCCCATAGCTGGATTGCTTCTAATGCGATTACAGGTCGTCCTCATCATGACAAGGTGATTCTTCCACCGATGCGATGGTATTAGTGTCCCTGTGAGTGAAATGAATATATGGGTCATATACCAGGCTTATAACGAACATACGCTTGCGGACGACTATTATGGATTGCTATTACTATTATGGCAGTATTGGCGTTCGCGAAGGAATAAGCTATTGCTTCTAATATTAACCAACCATTGTGAGTATCAGGCATGGCTTAATCGAGGTGAGTATTCAATTGAGATGTTGCAGACATTGAGAATTTTCAGCGAAGGGTTATTCCTCTCGAACAGCGACTAGAGGGGATTTCCACCAAACTATATCGTTGAACATTGTCGCCCGGAGAAACTTTGGTATTCCTTGGACATTCTTCTGTGTCTCTTGGTGCTGACCCCAATCGCCTCTAACAGGAGCAGGCTCCCATTCAAATTCGTAGGAACCACTCACTGGCTTACTATGCGCCTCAGGCATTCTTCGAGAGCGTGTTCACAGTAAATATTATCCCTTCTATTTCGATGGTACAAAAGAGAACTGTTGACATCCCAGTGCGTCAGCTCAGCGCTCGGCCCTGGCACATTGGATGCACTAGCGACTCTAGCCACTTTTGTAGTGGGTGACGGCCTGCGCAGCGGCCTCGAATACTTCCTGAACTCCCTCCAAAGTAGTAGCTGAGCATTCGACGTACTTCCTAGCCCCAATTTGGCGACATACCCTGATCGCCTCCTTGGGGGTGACCTGCGCCGTTGCTGCGTGGGAGGCCTCATCACTCGCCTTCGGCTTTTCATGAGATCGCAGATCTTTCTTCCGCCCTACTAACTTCGTCATCGCCTGCAGGAATGCATTACTCGCTTTCGGACTTTCTCCACGGTGCAGATCCTTCTTACAGCCAACCAATATAGTCGGTATATCACCACAGGAATGCCGAACTTCGGAGGCCCATCTTGTCTGCACGCTGCTGAGAGACTCCGGTGAATCGACGGAGAAACAGATCAAAACAATATCACATAAGAGATAAGAAAGAGAGCGCAATTTGGCAAATTCTCCTCGATCAGCCGTGTCCCAAAGGGAGATCAGGGTCCGGCTCCCCGCGATCGGGGAGGCAACCTCTTGAAGGTCTAGCAGGGTAGGTATTTCACCGCTCGCAGGATGGCCTTGAGTGAAGGCAGTAAGAAGACTGGTTTTTCCACAGCTTGTATCACCGATGACTACAAGTTTGCGAGTGATATTACTCATGACGGAACGACTTCGTCAACAGGTAGGGGTATGTCTTGTAAACACGAGATTCCGGTCGAGTGGATAGTTTCAGTCGGGATGACTCACGTCCCGATATGCCGAGGTAAAGGCGTGCGACTCTGCGATGCTTGCAGTTGCTGCTGCTGGTTTTATCTGGAGATTTCTGCTCTGGGCGGGCGATTTCACACTGGACGTGTGAATTCCATATTTAATTTATCGCTCCCAGGGAATATCTGAATATCCATTTCACCCAAATATAGGAGGCAAATACCAAAACTCAACTGTCCGTGCACTATTGCGCACACGCCAGCATCGCTAAATCGGTCTTCATAACTATTTTAGTAGCAAAGCTATAGTTAGACATGCTCAAAGGTTTAACTTAACAAGAGTATTACGCAAGCACTGGGGGGTACTGCACCATGCTCAGTTTCAGCGCCAGCGGTCAACTGACGAACAAGTAACAAGCAATAAACTGAGTAGGCGTGATGGTACTGATGTGCAGGTAGCCTAAGCGGTTTTCTTAGTATGGGCCCCCCTTAAATCTATTATCAAAATGACTATTTTACTGCAGAATGTAACATTAAATCCGTGAATTATATTGTATAATACCTAAACACCATGCCCACAGAATAATTGTTATGGCAGGGCAACCCACTGTTAAGTTGCAAGGCATCGGACTCAGCCAACACAACCTTGGATATCCAACCAACTGTCCTAGGAAATCGTGTTTTTCATAAAAGGCGTAGCAGAGTAGCTGGCGTTTGACAAGACCGAGAGCTTCAGCTATCAATGAACCATGATTTCTATACAGATGCGGTCTGTCCAGGAGCTTCTTGACATAAGAAGCCCGTAGAACCCTGTTGCAAGATGACGTGTCAGATATTACCTTTATACTCAAAATAGGTTGCAGGTGAATAGTAAGTACCCCAGAAAATGCACAACATAAAGCCTCTTTGCCTCTTCTCGCGCAAACTTGTGCGAACTCTACCCCGTCGGCGGGGGTTTGACGAGGAACCTCGCAGTCCAGACCTTGACCAGGGAGGACGATGCTGCAGCATTGCGCCTCACTGTGGCCGTTGCTTGGACAAATAGTGGAATCGCGTGCTTTTATAAGTGGGCTTGCCAAAGCACCAACAGCTCCGAGGCAAGTCAGGAGGATATACTTGTTCATGTGCATGGCGTAAGAAGGGTTGGGGAATTTCAAAGACGTAGGGGCAGGGAGGCGACTTGGTAAGTGACCGATTGATAATAGTATGATAAAGGAGCGACGGTTTGAATGAGCGACTGGAAGTAAAATGAATGACTGACTGATTTGAAGGAGTGACTGGGCGTAGCAAGAAACACAATTCCAGTTGGGACAAGCAGGGCTATCCTAGGTTTTATATACTGCGGACGATATATCCTATGTTCGATAAGTATCATACATTCCTCGGAGTTTTACACGATCGTAAACCACCTTGAACTAGGGGTTGAGACACCCGATCCATACCCACGATGCACATTCTTCAGATAGCATTCTTCGGTAGTCACATTATGATCCTTTTGCATTCGAACTAGAACGTTTTGAATAGCTGAAATAGCAAAATTGCAAGGAGCTCCTTACCGAAGGACTACAGTGCCAGTGCGTCCCCCAGTTCGAAAACCTTGAGCGTTATTATAGTTTAACTGTCGAAATGTAACGATAACTGTCAAAAGAAACTCTCTGTCATTGAACGTGTAAGCTTTACTTTAATCGAACTTGTGCTCATGAGAAGCTCCGTTGATATTTGTTATTTATAAATTCACGTCACGCCTTAACGTGTCGGAGTAGTTAGATTTACAAAATACAGCCCGTCAAGAAGCTTCCCTTATAATAGATTATCTCGAGGAATCCTCAGGGTAAGTAAAGGGAAGGATCGACTTCAATTACATCACTGTCACGGCGCAAAAAATGCAGTCCTTATCGGGTGATACTCGTTTGAACTTGAGTAGTAATTATTAGGCTATTAATTCAGCTATACCTCATGTGACTAGCTTCACAAGTTAGGTTCCAACCATGCAGCCTGGTGGAGGCTACGAATCCATCTAGAGATGTTGATTAGCTGAGTAAACCCCTTGGTATATGTCTATAAATGATGAGAGCTATGCTGGTCATAACTGCAGAATGTACTTATCAACAAGTTCCTCCTGCTGGATAGCAAGCATTCTTACAGATAAAAACACGATTATAACGATGTCTTTCTAACTATTGGTATATGATGACAGAGGTGTCGGGCTGAAGAGGTGATTCCCACAACACCAGCTTTAGAAATAGTAAACATAATTAGATTGAATTTCATGAGTATTCCCAGCTGAATTCTATCGCCAGGATTAGGGCGCCTCTAAAATCCTGGGGCACGAGAATACTACGCGACTCGCATAGCCACCCAAACTCCCCGCATACCGTCAGCAAATACTAAGCCCATAGCTACCAGAAAGGGATGCTGATCGCCAGACTGATTGGGAATCAGATATATCGTTCATTAGAGGGTGGGGCTACGTTGGGACTATCAGCAAGGGTGACTGCGCAGCATTCCAACATGAATCGAAAACCTCCAGCATGAATGGGATACATATTTCACTTACTCATTATCCCTCATTGAGAGGACTTTATTGCCGCTCTCCTCACTCATGACATAGCATGTAAATTTAGCTTTTACTCAGACTTCGTGGACTGTCATCCCAGCAGCATCGTGTTAGGTTGACGTTTGCCTCCTTGTCGACAAAATGATCCTTGTGGTGGACGCCGTTAACCATGGCGATGCGATGCTTTCGGGCTGTCCCAAGGGACATACACCAGAGATGCATTCACTACCAACATGAGTCCCTGGCTGGCTTGCTGCAGACTGCCCTTCACGCGGTGATGTTACCTTGTTTTCTACTAGTAGTGGGCACCAGAATTTGACCCTCCGAGGTTTCAACCCAAACACTATCTAATTGAACATTAAGTTCCCTTCTCATAGTTGCAGCTACTGATGTTGATACTGACACCTAGCCAGCAGACGATAAATAGGAACCAGACTTTACACAGTGCCATGTTAGCCAGTTTTCCCACGCGACGCTATGATATTCTACTAACCCCTGATAGAAAGTCTAGTGATATAGAACGGTCCATATTCTAACTCTAGCGGATGGGAACTGCGGCATTCTGGGGTTGTGCGACTCACATCCAAAAACATTGCTAAACTATCCAGGCCCACACAGGTTACCATTATGCGGCACGAAGTCTCCTATATAGAATCTGTAGTAGTGTGTTGCGATGTACATACTTAGATATGGCTATATGACAGATTGGGTTAAAAGATACATTCGTAACATTTCAATTGATTAAAAACGTTTTGCTTCCAGTTTGAGGCTTTTGGGGAAGGTCTTTTCCTGGAAGAGCTGATCAAGTGCCTCCTTTGTAATCGTCTTATTTTCTGGTAGTCTGTAAATGTACCAGACAACACGTTGGCTGTAGATGCAATAGTGGGAAAGGCTACTTTGCCCTTGGGACTTTCCTCTGTATTACTCAACCTGTATAATGCTACAACAGCATGGGACGTAGTACTAAAAGGCTCCTTAACCACGTACCATCTTCAGGCGGAGGTCTGGGCACATTTGTCTGTGAGGTCCAGGATTATATATAGTATCCCTAATGAACCAGTTGGTCATCGCAGAAGCAAGCCGTGTCCACAACCAGTGGCATAGATGTTCTCCTGCTTAATTTGAACAACCCTTACGCTCCGCTTCTATATATCCAGGGCATAGCAGAAGGCGATTGGGGGAAGAAAGCACAGAGAGTCACATTTACTTGGTAGGACAAAGTGTATGGTGATTTGCGGGTCCAGATGAGTAATCAATATTTGACCCGATCTCGGGCTCTCACCTCTGGCTTCATTTTTACCTTGTATCCAAGATTTCAACTCGGAGGTCGCAGCGAAAGGTCTTACTACGCTAAACAGATATGCCTAAGCAGATCTCTTCAACAAGAAATGTAAAGCAACCCAAAATCCGTCGTAGTCACTCGGGCTGTCGACCATGCCGTAGAAGAGGCAAGCGGGTGAGTGAACATCCTACAATCCACCATTGCGACGAAGCATCTTCTGAACCGAACTCTTTCAGTGCGATGAGGCAAAGCCCAGCTGCCAGGCCTGCGGGCGGTTGTCACTGGATTGTAGCTATGGTATCGACTACACTTTCCGTAGCCTGGACGGAGCATTGTTTCAGGCGCAGCTAGCAGATCAAAAAGCCTCCACTCGACCAAGTACAATTTTGAAACGAAGTACAGCGAAGGGTGTGCTAGACCCAAAACTTAAGATTGGAATGCTCAACTACCTGAACAGACTGGCGACTTCTAGTCTGCCGCCAACTGTCAGCACGCACCATGAGATAGAGCTTCGATACGTGAACCATTTCCAGACTCATGTGCGCCATCTCCTTCCAGCGCTTTCGCTGCAACTTGTCGACAAATTCTTACAGTCGCCTGGGTTACGATTTGCCGTGCTTTGTATATCGGCATCCAATCTCTCAATGCTCAATGCACGGGTTCAGCACCGCACCCTACCAAATGATAGCCGAAAATCTGTTTTCAGCCCACTCGTGAATGGCTTGCATCACAGCCACGCCCAGCAATATCACGATTTGGCGCTGTGGGATTGCCGTACTGCAGAGCATGAGGGGATCAAAAATGAAGCACCGGCACTACTCGCTGCACACGTTCTTCTGGCCTATTACCATCATGCATCCACGGATTATCTACGATTTCGATTCGCTGTGAGGGATGCTGTGCGGTTCGTTTTGCAGAACAGGGCGACTATCGCTGATGCTCCAGATGGTGCTGACGCATTGCAAATGTGGTACCGCCTCTGCGCATCTCACCGACCCGCAAAGCCACCTGCCTTACTCCTTGAAGGCGAGGGAGCAAGTTCTTTTGGGCCGAATCTCCTTCCGGATGTTACTGAACATATCTATCTCACTTGTATCGTGGGGATGAATGTAGATGACCTTATCTATGACATTCTGATCAAGACACTGGAAATCCGGACCAAGTTGATGGTGTTCCGTTGTGTAGCAGCCATCCGTCAGGTCTCTGAGACCTCCAGTGATATTGGCCCTCTTGCCCATGAAGTGATGAATAAAATGCTAGGGCGTGAATGTGGGCCAGATGAATATGCGGAGGCACGGGATAGCTTTGTGCGCGGCTCAAGTTTGCTAGGCTTGCTGGATGTGCAAAAAGAACGTTTGAGGGTGTGGCGATCTCGACTTAATGCGGACCAGCTGCGAACTCAATGCGGTTCTACCTCCAGTGCAGAAAGGCAAACGAGCCCTGAAGCTCCAGACTTACTCATTAGTCAAGAATTTCCGACCCATCGAGATGCCATGAACGCCTTGTACTGTTTGCTTTGCGAAATCACATTCGAAGAAGGCAGGCAAACTTTCGCATCGGACCACATGTCTACCGTCGTTGGAGTCGATCCTTCAAATGTGATTGCCAATATGGCCTATAGTGCGTGCCATGTTGCTAATAGTCTTAATCTGGCCGTATCGAATACGTCGGACGTCTACACGATGAGTCTAGCAGAGGTCCTGCTTCAGCTTGTGTTTCTCTGGCGATCGGATGAGCTGTTTCACTACATACTGGATGTTTTATGGCCACGGCTTGAGACGCACGGAAAGGGCTACGAGCACTCCCACTACCCTACGCATCTTGTCAAGCGTATTATAGCTCAAACTGCAGCATACTGGGCGCAGGGTCGAGTGGTCAATTTCGCCCAGCCAGCAGTCGCCGAGAACATATCGAAGTTAAACCTGTTGGATATTGACCATCCGTTAGAGCTGGTGGTCTGCGGGTATAATATGGATGGCATGTATTTCATCGAGAAAAGCCCACTGCCTTGATGTGTTTTTCTGAGTGCGCATATCCTGTCATGATAACTACACCTGCAGTATACATGCCGCGATGTCCCTTACAAATTCCTTGAGGCCATATATCTGCTGTGCGCCTCCTAGGCGACATCGGTGTCAACCTGTGGCCTAACGGAAAATCGCGCAACTCCATCAGCGGCCAGGCACTTACCTCATTTGGGATCCACTTTAAGAATCATTCTGATCTCCCAAGATGTGGAGAGGTTTTCTCAGAGATGTGCATGGCACTAGCCCTGTTTCGGACATATTTTACGCCCGTATTCTGCATTACGCCTGTGTCGTTTGCGCTAATCGTATCTGGTAAGCGATGTACCTTTTCTGGACATGTCTAACCCGCTTTGGAGAATATTTACGCCGGTACTGAGATTACCGTTTTGCTCCCATGGCCTGAGGCTATGGAGATGTCGAGAAGACAGGCGCGCATTATTTAAACACTCTCGTGTGCCATTTCAAGCTCGAGCATTGGAAGCTTTCCTTAGAAACGCAATTGACAGAAAAAATGACACGCGCAGTCTGGACAAACCTTCTTTCGGACGACTCTATTCGGAGGTCGTCGCAAACCCTATCGGTCATTGCGGGCGATGCGTATCTGTACGGCGGGGAGCTGCGGCCCCGTGAGCCGGTGGACTCAGCTGTCTATCGCATTCCCCTAGACAACAGTGAGAATACATAATTTAACACCAAACGGTAACTCCATGCTGATTTCTCATAGAACAGCCTTCGCATACTAGAACATCCACGATCACCAGCACGCCCGAGAGCCCACAGCCTAGAGTCGGGTCTGCATCGACCACAATCGATGGCAATGTCTATATCTTCTCGGGCCGTGGTGGCACTGCCATGGCTCCGATCGAAGAAGTCGGTTCATTCTGGGTATTGGATCCAAATACCAGTGCCTGGGTACAGTTGAAGCCTGCAGACCCTCAATCTCCTTACCCAGCGGGACGCAGTTACCATACCCTGACGAACAACGGCAAAGACACTATTTTCCTCCACGCCGGCTGCCCCGAGAAGGGCCGGCTTTCCGATTTGTGGGCGTTCAACATTTTCACTCGTCAATGGCGAGAGCTAGCCCCAGCCCCCAAGCCAGAAAGAGGCGGTACATCCATTGCTTATGCGGAGGGGAAGGTCTTCCGGATGAACGGCTTTGATGGAAAGACAGAACAAGGCGGTGCATTGGACGTGTATGACCCCGCGAACAACATTTGGAGCACCATCACGTATCCGGCGGATGGAGTTTCTGGTCCGGGTGCACGCAGTGTGAGCTGCTTGCTGTCGCTTAAAGTTGCTGGGAAGCCGAGCCTTGTTACTATGTTCGGTGAGCACGACCCTAGCAGCCTGGGACACCAGGGTGCAGGTAAAATGCTTTCCGACGTGTGGATCTATGATATTCAGTCTGGAAAGTGGATGGAGGTCCAGACGGATGCCGATAACGCCCCCGAAGCTCGCGGATGGTTTGACACCGATGTCATTACAAATGGTTCGAAGGGTAGTATCGTTGTCCACGGTGGGCTGGCTGAGTCCAACGAGCGGCTCGGGGATGTGTGGAAACTGGATTTTTGATACGCCCGCCAGTCTTCTGTCAGCTGGAAATTCGTCAGCATAGCATCGTGCTTCCAGATTTCGGGGCACATTTTCATTTGACCACATCGGAGTCTTGGTAAAGGCACGGGACATGTCCTGATATTCTAGATAGGATTGTACCTGTTAGTAGTATTCATCGGTCCAGACTAAAATCCTAAAGGTACATGTGGACCTAATCACCTAAGCTGTACGAGGGTAGTTCTAGACGTCTTTCGTTTAAAAGCTAGTAATGGACTGTGCATGAGGGCTCGCGTAGTGAAAACCGTCATGGTACATGCTTTCTGATAAAGAGAATACCCTGAGATAATGCGTTACAGCCACTACCTCGATACACCCCACTTACACCCAGGTGGAGCACGAAAAATGGCTGTTGTTCCGTGTCTTGCCACCGGAGGGAGACTGCTCGTACGCATGTACCAGCGAACCAAAGCCCCTATTACCGTATGGTCATGGCGATCATACGCTTAACTTTCATTTGTCTCTTTGTCTTTTGCTTACTTTCAACTTGTTTATGTTTCTAATATCACGCCAGACTCCGTAGGCTCGGATATCCATCGTTCCGTCCATCATTAAGCACTTAACTTCTCCTATTCATTCCGTTCTACGGAAAGGGACCTAAAGACACAAGGGCGGTTTATGTCGTCAAACTACCAAAAAGCTCTCTCTATATCCCCATAATGGCACCATGCACGACCGAATCATTGGCTCCTTCAGAGCACTCACCTCTTCTTTCTGGTGATCCTGAACCAACTGGCCATCCACAGTCAACATTTCCCCACGATCGGTCCGAGCCTCACATAGCACATGAAGTCCCCAATACGTTTGCACGTCGATTATACATCTCGCACTTCCTATCAACATGGAACTCTCGTGTCTTCGAGTTTGGAGCCGTCCTCTACCTGGCTTCAATTTATCCGGGAACCCTGTTACCTATGTCAGTTTATGCCCTCTCCCGAGGTATCGCTGCGATTTTGTTTGCACCAGCGGTGGGCAATTACATCGATACTGGCAACCGACTGCAAGTAGTTCGAGTCTCGATCGGTGTGTGATATCCATCGGATGCTACTGAGTTTGACTCATATACTTATCTAAACCAGTGCTACAAAGAGTTGTGGTGGCAGCATCTTGCGTGATCTTCTACCTGCTTGCAATGGGCTTGCCGATGCTCAGCGCGATGGATAATATCTTGCTGGTGGCATTGGCGCTCCTTGCCTGCATTGAGAAGCTATGCTCTATTATGAATCTAATATCCGTTGAAAGAGATTGGGTGCGTATATGAAGATATACCTTGTGCATAGGCCTAATTTTCATATGATCTGTTAGGTTGTTGTCGTCGCAGGAAATGACTACGAAGGCCTCAAGAGTGAGTATGGGATTTGAACAACGTTAAACATTTAGTACTAATGGAGATTGACACAGCCATGAATGCTCAGATGCGCCGGATCGACCTCATCTGTAAGCTTATCGGGCCGCTCGTCATAGCCTTGGTCGCGGGTATCTCGACTAAGATTGCCATCACGTTCAATCTGGGAATGAACATTTGTTCTGTAGTCTTTGAATACTTTTCAATCGCCAGAGTAAGTGCCAACGTTCATATTTGAAATCACGCGCAGATACTAGTTCTAACACGCACCCTAAGGTATACTATGAAGTACGCGACCTCCAACGGCCAAAGGCGAAAACATATCTCGACTCGCCAAACACAGACTCCAAGCAGGAAAACAGCATGACGCGCCTCTGGCACTACTGGCATTGTCTGACACATAAGGCACTGGGAGACTTCGAATCCTACTTCCGTCACCCGGTCTTCCTCCCCTCATTTGCCGGCGCGTTGCTATACCTGACTGTCCTCTCATTTGCCGGCCAAATGGTCACATGGCTCTTATCGACAGGCTACGACTCCACGCAGGTTGGAATCGCGAGAACCCTAGCCGTAGTATTGGAAGTCCTCGCAACATGGATCGCTCCTTGGCTCATGGGGAGAATTGGTCCGACTCGTGCGGGTCTCTGGCTCGCGAATTGGCAGATTACATCCCTGGTAGCCGGAATGACCGTCTTCTGGATGTTCTCCGACCAACCTCTAATTTCTGCATCCGGACTGGTAGGAGGGACGATCCTCAGCCGAGTCGGGCTGAGGGGGTTTGATCTGTGCGTTCAGATTCTCGTTCAGGAGGTGAGTGGTTTGAGTACCTTTGGCGAACACATCTACGCTGTTTCATCCACCCCAAGCTCTGCAAGGGGAAAGATATAAGACTAACGTACCCCAAATACAGTGCGTCGAAGCCGAAAATCGAGGCAGCTTCTCCTCGGTAGAGGCTGCGTGGCAGAACGCGTTTGAGATCGGTTCGTACATCTCGACTATCATCTTTTCGCGACCGGATCAGTTCGCATGGCCAGCCCTTATCAGTGTGGTTGCTGTGGGCCTTGCTGGCATACTATATGCGGTCTTTGTTCGCATGCAGCGAGGCCATTTGATACATGTGCCAACGTGGATTGCAGCGCCGGGAATGCTGCAACAGGCGAGGGAGAGGTGCATTGAGCGGATTTATTCGTCATCGGAGGTCTAGTGTGGGTATATTGGGGATACATTCCAGTTGTGGGTGTCACGAACGCTATTCTTATTTATTGGTTATCTAGTGAGATACAGATGGAGGTAGAGCATCCTAGGGTCAAGCACGAGAGGAGGACGTTGTGAAAATTGCGAACCATTGATTACTGTACGGAGTGAAGTGAACAATAGATACAAGAAGGGGGAAGTAGATAAGGATAGACAGGCCGTGAATCAGAAAGGAAAACACAAGGAGTAGTAAAGAGGGCCCATGATAACTCAGGAGCCCTTTCAAGAGAACCCTCAAGCCCAATTGTAAACGAATGTGCCTTTTCTGCACCACAGCTCTCATCACATCAATCGAGATAGGCCCCCCACAGATGTGAAGTTGCCATTGAGAGCTGTCACACCTATTCAACACCCCAATACTCCATAGGACTGTCCAACGAGAACAGAGAAGCCAACCACACTGCGTGCAGTACATACCCTTTTCCGCACTATGTGCTTCCCCATCGATGACTTCCTCGCCGATTAGATCCGCCAGCCCTCGTTGTATGCCTCATTGCTAGTCGATTATTCTCACCCGCTTACTCTTTCACAGGTATCATGAGAAGATCATCAACGTTCTCTCCGGCGTCCTTTGCCTCTTTCATATTCTTCGGTGGCAACTTATCCTCCTTTTTATGATCGCATATATGCCTAGGTCCGCCAGCGTCCAAAATGGCAGCCTCGACACAGCCGTTCTTGAAGCCCGACATCGTGAACGTGACCTTCTCAGTGTCTCGTTCTCTGCCTTCGAATTGTGACTTTTCATGCTTGTAGAAGAGGTAATCATTGATCTTGAAGTTGACGAAGAATCCGTTCTTGTGGCATTTCTTCCTCAGGGCATCGGAGAACGACTGCCCATCAGTCCATCCATTGATACCAGCGATCCTGAATATAACTGTGTTATATCCATTGTCGTCCAATATGTCACAGGTGGCGGATGGCTTCGCCGCAGCGGAAGTCCAGGAGGCTCGGCAGCCTCGGCAGAAGACTTCGATGCGGCAGCAGATGCATGGACAACACCCATGTAGGATACAAATTCTGCCATCCTGGACGTAGACGCAGATGCCTCGGCCGAATAGGAAGAGGCGATGGATTCCACGGTAGAGATTACCTTCGTTGCTCCAGCGCACTCGGGTGTTGCATCGTGGTCGTCGTCGAAGTACTTTCCGGAGGCGCAGGACACGACTTCTCCATTGGACTGGGTCGTGGTAACGGGTGGCGGCACACTAGAAGACGCTGCGGCGGGTGTGGGCGTAGGAGTACCCATGGGTGTGAGCGAGGGTCCAGGCGTAATCATTACTGGGAATAGCGGCCTACTGCTGGATCCGGCATATATGGGAATTGGTCCAGCGTTGATCAGCGAGCTACTAGAGGGGTAGTTCACTTGCCCAGGCACGACCATGGGCCCTCCAGCCACCACATTGGGTTGAATCATCTGCCCCGCCGCTGGGGGGCCCTGAGCACCACCGAGGAAAGAATTCATCGTTGCACCCGCAGGAGGCATAGATTGGCCCATGTTGTTTGTTGGCTGGATATTGGCGTTGGCGTTATTCATGTTGTTGTGCATGCCCATATATGCGCCATTCTGGGGCGGAGCCGCCGGGGGATAGTTCGGTACTATAGAGCCTGCTGGGGGAGCCATATTGTTGCCATACCCATTGTGAACGCCGTATTGGACGGAGCCGGTCAGTTCTTGGTTCGGTTGCGTTAGGCCTCCAGCCGCAGCCATATTGTCATTAGTACCTCTCTGTACCCCATCTTGCACAGAATATGCCTGAGCAGAGTTAACTGACATAGGAGCTGCAGGTTGGTACATGTTGTTCTCAGTGCCACTTGTTAATCCACTTTGAATAGGCTCTGGCGGAGGTGAGCTCGATGCAGCCACGGGGTAGATCATATCGTTCGCATTACCGCTGTCCATTCCATTGACTGGAGCATTCTGTATAGAGTCTGATCCTGGCTGCGGACCCACATTGTTCACCGCATCATTGGCGTGTCCATCTAGAGATTGCGACGGCAAATTATTTGACTGGGGCGATCCTCCTGATTGATCAAGGCCATTTTCAATGCCAGATTGTACCCCTTTGACGAGGCTTCTGCCGGGGGAACCCAAGAGAGGGTTATTGGCCGCGCCAGCGCCAACTTCGGGCGCTGGAACCTGCGCAGCTTCGACTGGGGCATTACCCGCTGCACCACCAACAGCGTCAGCACCACCAGCAACCGCATTGGCAGCGGCTGGGGCACCACCACCTACTATTCCACCAACAGCTGCAGCACCTCCAGCAAACCCACCGGCAACTGCTCCAGCGCCAGCGCCGACTATTCCACCAATAGCTCCAGCACCTCCAGCGGCGGCACCAGCACCGGCTGCTCCACCAACGGCTTCAGCACCTCCGGCAGCCATACCAGCAGCGGCTGGAGCACCAGCGCCAACAGCACCAACGCCCCCGCCAGCAACCGGAGCAGCTGCAGCTGGAGCACCGGCGACTGCGGGGGCCGCTACTGGAGGAGCTGCGGCGGGGGCCTGAGGAACTGCTCCGGGCTGAGGGCTTGTAGGTGCAGGGGGCGTATTGCAGCGGAATAGACAGGGAATATCAATTGCGTCAAGCAAGCCAGGCAGGTTCAAATATGTACCCTCACTCTCAATTCCCAGCAGCCCCAGTCCGTCAATCACCGGAAGGATGGTTTGAATCCCATTTAGCGCGGTTCTTAAAAGACCGTTCTTGTGGGCCATGGACTCAATTCTCATGGTGGAGAATCGAGGTGGAGCCTCCGAGAACGTCGGTAAGCGTGGTGCCCTTGTTATAGGAGGGATCATGTCGTCGTCTGTCGTGGTGTCGGGAGACTCGTCTGTCCCCTCTGATGAAGGAGTTGCGTCGGGAGGTGAGGTGCTTTGCACAGGCTGTGGAGCCGGATCTGTCGTGAATAGTGCATTAGACGATCGTTCAGGTACTGGAGCAACCTGCACGGAAGTCGGTGTATTTGACGAATCATGGCCATTACCCGCAGGGATGACAGGAGCGGTAGATTGGTATGAAGTATCGACAACGTTGCTTGAGGAAGCAACTGCATAAGCGCCCCCACTGACACTACCTGGCATGGACGAGTAACTGGGTAGGTATGCGGCACCACTGACCCCAGCTGATGGGCCATTAAGAGCACCTGGAGCCTGGACTGGGCCTCTCTGGTCCGTGTTTGCAGCGATGAAATTGCCTGGGTCAATTGGAATGCCGTTCGGTGCAACTGTTGGCTTAAGAGCCCTGTTCGTGGTCCACGTTACTACTATTGTTGAAGTTATGACCTCCTGAGTGCCCACAGAACTGATGCCACTCTCGTAGGCTGGACCTGGCGGATTCGCCGGACCATTTGGAGAAGGGCCATTCCCAACTGCGTTTTGGGGATTGACCGCATTTTGAGCTGGGGGAACGATATTGCCACCGATGTTGGCATTTGTAGAACCATAGGCGCCGTTATTGGTAGCATCGGAGACTCCAACAACACCGTTATTAGTAACATCGGAGTACTCATTGGTCGCCGGCAGACTAAGAACCTTCTGTACTAACAAGAGTACCAGAGGGATTGATTTCTGGTACATGGCTCAAGGGTGCTGTACGACTCACACTGTAATTGAAAGATTGTATGGGGCAGGTGAAGAACAAGATTATAAATGTGGCGAATGTTAGGGCCAACTGGACGTTGTCCTTAGAAGGAGAGACTGAGAACAAGACAATTGAACGAGTGGCAGGTTACCCTAAGTGGAAACGTATTCCAGCCATAGGTGACCCAATATACGACAAATGAATAACGTTGGGATGTGGGTTCTGCCCGTAATTTATCAACGGGGTGAGCCGCTGCCCATAGGACAAGAGGGTAGGTATCAGTGTTTCGGCATCCTAAAGTCCACGAGATGAGTGGATTGCTCGTATCTGCAGAGGGCCATTGTGATATCCAGATTCTGATATGGGTTCTTTGTTTCTCGGGCACGGATTCAGTGCCTTCTGCGTTTGAAGCTTGGCAGGGGCATCCAAAAATGATGCCATTTGGTTTAAACCGATTAAGCATTAACAGAATATCATGCCGTTTATCAGCACAGGCATCGCTCCCAATCATGGCCAGCAAAGAGTTTCATCCACTGAGGTCGGGTATGATCAGATGTTAAACAAAGGAACACAGGCCGCTTGAGAGTGTATGATGAGTTTATAGCGCTGGCCAGGGCTTGCACGCCCGGAACCCTAATGGTAGGATGAAAAACGTGATTCGTGGAGACTCTTTGCCCAATGTCCACCAAACGTTGCCCGGTGCGTTTAACAAGATAGGATAGAAGCCTGCCTAGGACGCCCAAGCAATACACGGAGTAGTCTTCATTCATATGGGCGATTACTACCACGGAGAAATACTACCAGCGTGTCCATACCTCTATTCCGGGGTCTCGGTTCATACAGTGTTCTTACATTACTTTGCCTATCCCAGTCTTATCGGTGCCGTATACTGCATTATTCATATAACTCAATGTAACGGTCGGACACGACTGTCGAGTTACATAAGGATATATATCCTGATCTACGGTGTACGGACGAATCATAAACTACACACCTCTGGTATTAACAAGCGTTCGCGTCATTAAGACTTGCGTAAACCTTTGCACCTGCTTGAATCTTGGAACCTGCCTTTTGACTTTCATTTCGCTCCTATTAGGGGCAAGGGGTTGATAATTCTCAAAATCTTCCAAGTGGATCGAAGTGAACTTCTCTTCAGCAACAGCTTTGCCGTACTCCCGCAGGGGAGCTGTTGACACTATAACATATGTTACTATCTCTTCCATCGGTGTATATGATTCTGGATTTCACGAATGTTAAGCCTACGTGAAGAAGTCGCAGGATGCCTTGCACGCCACCAAATACCAATGTCCGGCCCCACTAAACTACTAGGCTTGGTCAGTATCGCTCATGCTACTCCGTACTCTGTGTTGGAATACAGATGCCTATGATTAACTACCAGCGTTGAATGTACTAATGTGCAAAATCATCACTCTTATGATGCATACTATGCCCTACCGGCGTTACATTGGTTTGGGTACGAAGACATACTACTGGAGTACACATTCCGTTGTAGGATGGCGACTGGTCCACCGATTTTCCTTGTAGCTATTCGTTGAGTGCACCCTACCATTGGCAGTTCTGGGAAGTAATAGGAGATAGAAGACAAAACGGAGACGAAATGCAGGCCTTCTACTGTGAAATGATAATGTGTCTCTATGGCAGGCAGCCCGGTCAGATACTAGGCCACTAACAAAGAAAATCTCAACGCAGACTAAGCTTGGGTATCATGGTATTCCCCTATCTCAACAATGAACAGGGCATTTTTGCGGATCCCTAAGCCTGTCAGCTTGTAAATTGATGAATTCCTCTTCGGCCCTGTCTTTTGTCTCGTACTGTCTACCTGCCTTGGTGAATTTACATGGGTATTTCAGTATCTCGGTCCATGGTGATCTCAACGTATACTTGCACAAGTGCTAGGTCCAGCTTTCATAGTCTAATGATTCTTCTACCTTCTTGTATCCCGATGAACATGTATGCGGCTTCAGCCGCAGGATATAGCCTCCACGTATCATCAAAACCCTTGATCCACGGTCTGATAGCGTGTCGTAAACATGGATTGCCTTGCCCTTACCGCACTCTAGGAACGGGAGCTATTTTTAGACCCGTCCCCCGCTGAGGAGGCCTATTAGATCGACTGGGTACCTGAGCCTAAGGACATCATCTTTAGAGCCAATTTCCTATAAGGCCATCCTTGGCACACTGCATCAATCATTTCAAGATTCAACAAAGTAGGCAAGCAAATATATTTTGCGGTCAGTATAATTACTTCGATATTGTACTCTGCAAGACAGAAAACATGATATTATAAGTTCGTCAACCTCAAGCAACCTGCAGACCCCCTGCAATCGCTTCCTCAATCTGTGCTGTAACATGTTTTTAATATATACTTGCGTCTAACGACTTGCTCTCACCGTTTCAGGAGTCTTGTCTTCCGATTAATTAACCTGAAAAGGGAACGATTCCGATGTACCAATGGCGAGCGATAGAGAACCACGTGGCTCTCTGACTTTCTAAAGTAATAACGCGAGGACTACTTTCCTCTATCTTTGCATTGTCTAGTCCAGTTTGGACAGTGTTGACGTCGTATCCACGACAGACGACTTCCCTAGGCTTGAGCCGTCGCTCGCGACCGCTTCTGCATATGCCCGGGGGTGGTAATTGGGGCTAGTATAGGTAGTTTGAAAGCCCTGCCTGCCCACCTTGGATACCAGCGTAAACTCACCAGACGCTGAAGTCGTGCCGTAGAAGTTCCAAAAGGCAACATTGGTAGCACCATTCCAACTGACCCAGAACGTAGTCGCAGCGCCCGGGGAAGCCGCATAGCTACGAAGGGCAGGCTCGTCACTTGGCTCTCCGGTCCAATTGAATTTGAAAGCACGGTAGTTCATCGTCCGCGGATCATTTATTGTTGCAAAGAACACGGCGGTTCCATCGTCGGTATGCTCAGATATTGAAGGATGGCTCCCCCATCCGACCAAAGCGTGTTGATTCGGGAGTATTTGGAGGTTTCCCTGGCTTGTTGATAGGAGTCCGTCACCGGGGGCCTCGTATCTCTTCATTAGGCTGGAGGTATTTTGTTCATTGTCAATTGACACGATGATACCCGAGGACCTCGATGACGTGTTCCTATAGCCATTGCTGCCGTTATCAAAGAGTGAGATGACAGTGGTGGTATCGTTCTCCTGCAGGAAGCGCGCGTCATGTTGAGCGGAGAAGTTGTAGCCCTGCATTTGTATTGAACCATTCGTACCGCCCAGCCGCCACAGAACGGATCCATCCTTGCCGGATATCTTGTAAATGCAGCTGGTATGTCTAGCAGATACTAGATAGTCACCATCATCGTTCTTGTCCACAGAATTGATGTGAAAGTAGTCCCAAGCCGTCGCATTGCTAAGACCATCACCCACGACTGTGTTAAGTCGCAGAGGGGTATACGTTTCAGAGATGTTAACATGATCGAGAGACCTCCATTCAAAGAGGACCTCGCCTGACGTGATATTGATCTCTTGAAACACACCGTCCATGACCCAGCCATTGTCTGCGGGCACATCAAACGCCTCTAGGTTATAGCGGCGCGGCTGATAAATCGCGATGAGGACGGAGGTCTCATCAATAATGTTCAGCTCATGCATATCGCTCAAGGTCAAACCATCCCCACTCTGTACAGTCGCTGCTTGTTTATAGTCTGGATTCAGGATGACGTTACGACCCCTAGCGTATCCTTCTATTTGATTTCCTTGGAAGTAGCATAGATGATCAGATCCCTCATAGGGACACACCTGGAGATCATGAAAAAGCTCGGTCGTTGACCCATCGGCTCCGCTCCATACCAAATTCTAGGCTCTTAGTTCAGTCACATTTTCATAAATGTAGCATGAAAGAACTTACACCATCAGTGTCATAGATATATGGCCCTGGTAATTCGGTTTCATATGGTGCCACAAATAGATAGCCCGGGGTAAGAAGAGAGTCATCCTTAAGACTCACTTCTAATATCGGAGCACGAATATCGGGTCTCTGGTTATGAATCAGCGTTGCCGTAACTACACAATAGCTGAGCAAAGAGACGAACTGATTGAAAAGAGATCCAAGTTGCAGCATCGACTACACTCGTGATTGTCAATATGCACATCATTGTCCGAAGCATGTTCTCATAGGAGAACCGGCTCCCCCTGTTTCCAATAACCATGTTTACTGTTGTAAGCGCAGTTTATGCTTCTGCAAATATTAAATGCTCATAATTCTTTCAAGTGAAACGGTCTGTATGAAAGCTCTAGGGTAGGTATTATATCAATGAAATGGAGGACTAGGAAACCCGAGAAAAGATTATCTGCGTGTAGTATCAATTGACCCTACCCGGGATAAGATATATTGGCAGTAATTCTAGAAGCTTACGTATGCGCATTGGGTATCATCGTTAATTTCCTATTGTGGTTACGTCATGACTCCAAGCTTTTACCTTTTGACACCTCGTACCTAGATCGGTAGGGTTCAATGCAAGACCATACCAAATAGGTAGTCCTTCACAAACACGAATGTCACTAGACTTGGTCTAAGGTCACAATTAGAGTCGTGATGGTAGGGTCTAGGCCAATCTCGCCGGGCCAGCGCACGACCCGATCGAAGGGGCTACCATAGTTGAGTGATAGGGATGAGCCGCGTTCTGTTCCAGCATCTAGCAGTAAGAACGCATTCAGATTTCATGACTTACGATCTGGGACAACTGTCCGTGCGCCTGAAGGTTCTTGGGACAAGACCACTCCAGGTAATCAGCGGGTCATGTGTGAGAAGCATGAACCTTCCATAGCAAGACGGCCAATCAACCCTGGAGCACCTATGTCATCTAGCAATCCTGGAGATCATCCGAATCTGCAATTGTCGAATAGCAAACGAGAATTGGCACAGCCCCACGTGAGATATGCTGTTACCTTGGGCCCTCAACCGTGGGTCAGTCCCATCAGAAGGAAACCTTATCACGAACTCGCAGTCGGGACGTCACAAGTGGAACATTGGCAGATCATTGGGCGGAATATATTCTATCCAATCGTATGACCATGTGTGTGTGGATTCCGGGGGTCAAATGTGTCAATCTCAATTGATGTTGCGAACTCTTCCAGATTTGGACCTTCTCGTGCGCAGCCACTGGACTATCAATGGATATGGCTTCCGGATGGCAGAACAAGATTTTTCGGTTCCGTTGCGAACGGCCGGCACTGACATCATCAAAGTCTAGGAGCTGAATTTTATTCTACTGGGTAGACTGGGTATTGATACATGTATGTACATGCATTGCGGCAGGAATGAGGTATGAGCCATATGTAGTACGTTTCTCGCGGCGCGATAAGCTGATTTTACTGACTTTAAGACGTTTGACACGGTGGCGGAGGACACAATTATAGCCATTTTTTGACGCTATATAAAGTCCCTGCGCTTTTGTCAGTCCCGCATCTGATTGTACTTTCCATATACCATCCTAAAAATCCATTTCACTTGGACGGACCGTTCCTCACGATGGCAAGGCAGAACGGATACGAGCCTTATCCTGTGAGGCGTACATTACTGGTCACATATCCTCGTACTGCGTCCAACCTACTCGTAAGAATGTTGTCATTGGAAGCGCAGGAGAATGCTATTTCCAACGAGAAGGGAGGGTACTTCTTCTGGGACTCCTTTATCAAGGGCAGGATAACAAATTCTACGTACACGCCAATTGAAAAGTGGACAACGCAGCAAACCGAAGAAATGCAGCAGGTCTTCCAAGACGATTTCAACCGCTGGGAGAGCACCTCACATATGGCCGAATCTGAGGGCAAGTTATTCTTTGCAAAGGAACATATCCAGTGGTTCGCAGATCCGGCTGCCATTAGCGATTATCTTTCCCATAGCGATAGCCACACTCCATCTCCGGTCAACATCAAGATCCCGACTTCGTACGGCATGCCCCAAGGGTTTTCGTCCAATAACCTCACAATATTCCCCGACCACTACTTGGAGACCTGGAGGCTGACCTTTCTGATTCGTCACCCCGCCTTGGTATTTCCGTCGTTCTATCGCGCGATGAGAGAGCTGGAAAAGGAGGAATTCGCCCAGCCTCATGAAATGCAGCCGTTGATGGAATTGAATGCCACTTTAAGATGGACTAGACTACTTTACGATTGGTGCTGCCAGCATCAAGGGGATTCGAGCATAGGCTGTGAGAGGGATACTCGGTATCCCTTGGTACTAGACGCTCAGGACATTATACATCATCCTGATATTCTCGCTAGGTACTGCAAGCTTATAGGACTCAACCCGGTCCATCTAAAATCGGAATGGAACGCCCCGAATCAGAAGATGGAGAATGGGACCACGGACAGTATGAGCCACAGAAACCCTGAAAGAGTGATGAAGTCCACACTAGAAAATTCATCACATGTCTTGAAGGACAAAACGCCGATTATCGTCGACATCGGGGTTGAGAGGAAGGGTTGGGATCGGGAGTTCGGTATAGATTTCGGCGAACAGATGGAGAAATGGGTGAGGGAGGCAATGCCAGATTATAATTATCTTCGAGCGAGAAGGCTACGAGTGGGAGATGTGTGAATAGCATTGTTCAATATACGCGTACAGTATTCAATAATCTATTCATCATAAGTTGGTACGGGTTAGACGTCCCTTGCTGTATGAACAGCCAATCTGCTCTTGGCCCTATATGATAGTACATACTTACATCCCTATTCGCTACTATGATGTGATGGCTCACTTGAATGGTTGACTTCGGAGTTACCCGAAGCGCAGGAGCCATTCTACATTCAGAGTTCTCGTGTGGCAACGTACCACATATACACCACTAGCCTATGAACCCAGGTGCTCATCAGAATAGCCGTGTGAACCCCGTGCGCAGCTCAACAGTTATACCAAGGCAATTCTGAAAGCCGCATGTCTATTTGTGGCCTGGAGATATAGTCTTCGGGAGACTTTGGTTGCCATGCGAAGAGGTCTCCTAAGGTAACAGCGTTTTTGCTCTTCCTGAAGGATCATATAAGTAACATTTCCGAACAGTAACTACTAATAGCAATACACTTCACACATACTAAGAGCATCAATCAATAGACGGCAGACAGAGACTAAGAATGAATGAACAAGTATCCTTTTCGGCTTCCAGCCCTGGGCGTTCTGAAGCAAATCCGCCCTTCAATCAGGTGCCATATAACTAACAGCGTAGCCACTTATAAAAGGGCCTTATGAGCGCCAGATGGTTTGAAACATCACGGAGCAGTCTAGGCCTAGTGGCTGCACTTGCAACGATCCCAGTTCCAGTTATTGCAGCCAGGCTGAAGGTTGTCGCACCATTTTCCCTTGCAGCGACAATTGTCCCAATCCCAGTCCTGCGGTTTGCAACGAGGGTCTGCACGATGACAGGACTTCTTGCACTGGCATGTGTCCCAGTTCCAGGATTTGCAGTTAGAGTCATAATTACCACACCATCGTCCACTGCAACGGCATCGATTCCAATCCCAATCACCAGGCTTACAGCGGCGATCTGCTTCGTTGCAGACTTTCTTGCACTGGCAGTGATTCCAATTCCATGTTTTACAGCTGGAATCGTGATTATCACACCATTTGCCCCTACAGCGGCAACTATTCCAATCCCAGTCCTCGGGCTTGCAGCGGTGGTCAGGGCTATCGCACTTTTTCATGCACTTGCAGTGGTTCCAGTTCCAGTTTTTACAGTTGGAATCGTAAT